TAGATTTCGGTCAATTATATCACGCGTTAGTTATGCCAACTGGTTATGGTCATTTTCGTTATAAGTAGCCCATATGGATGTATGAAGGCATTCATCAGCGCCACAAATGGAACGAATAGCTTCACTGATTTTTATAACTGAAGAATGCCTGGATCAGGAACAGAACGTCGACTATTTATATTGCGTCGCTCAGTTGTGCATCTGATAATATCGGGCGATCTATTGATTAAGTTCGGTTGCGTTTGGAATAGAATCCATAACAAATATGCGTAAATCAGATCAATATAGTGCAATCGTGATAATACAATGTAATTTATACGTTCATTACTTAGTCACAGATGTTACGTAATCATGCTACGAAATTAAAAGCACATAATCCGAACCTTTATACGTTGATTTAGTAATAATGGAAATTGTACAATTATAGAATAATTATTTCAATGGTAACAGATGCGAGTAGATGTGGAGCTTGAGAGGATCGTTTGGGTAACAAATTATTGTAACTAATGTATTGTACATTTTTCCACCGTAGTATAATTTAAGCCATAGTAAATTGTGAAGCATCTGAAAAGGGCCAGTTCCTCCCCTATAAGACGCTATGGGAATCTATTTATTTGAATATTTCGCTGAAATGCGCTCGAAAGAAAGAAGCGAAATGGAAAGAAAGCTATTAGATGAGAAGGTACTACAGTCAACCAAAGGTTATAAGTGGATAAAATATCTGGTTTTGGTAACTATGGACATTAGCAGCGACACTGACTGCTGTAACGTCTCTCAATGACTAATGCAATGAGGAAAAGCTTCATGTGTACCTACCACCATTAGGGAAGATAGCTGAGAGATTTGACGCAAAATATCAACGATCCTTTGAGCAGTAAGAAACTTAGCATTATCTGAATAGCACTTATTTTCATCGTCGTCTGGCTAGACAACTTCAACATTACATAAACTACTATATATATATATATATTTTTTTTTTTTTTTTTTTAAATATTGGACGTCGCTTACTTAATATTTCTACTGCTAAGACAGATTCGAAATTGTGAACCGATTAACACTATCAAGGCTTAGCACTGCGAAATCGTTTAACTATACGGTAATAATTTTCTCGGATGTTTTAAGAATAAATTAAGCCAGCTAGTTCAAGCAGATAGGCCATAAAACACAGAAGAAGGTTGACTTACTAGTAATCTACTATATACTTTTATGGATAAAAATTTTAAGAAGATACAAGCTTTGAAGATGTCTTTTTGCTCCTTTTAGTTTCAGAATGTGCATGGGGCCAGAAAGGGACCACAACTTGCTATGCTACTCAGCAAAGCAACTACATTTGTAGAAAGCTATACTCTCTAAATAAAAATATTATATAAGCAGGGACTTCTGCAGACTACATACATCACAAATATCTGCAATATATTTGGATACTGAAGGCTATATATCTTACATTTTGTTATTAGAGATGCGCATAGTGCATGCCTCATGAATGAATATAAATAGGCTTCTTCAGCGATAGTTTATTAGTTCAGATATGAACCCCCAGTGTCACACTGTATTGGTCGTATTAGCAAAACCGACTATACAATTCCCGCTGTCACATATAGTGCCATATAGATGAATTTACGATGCCATGATGTAATAACTTTGGGTGCGCAAACTCTCTAGGCTCTGTCTAATTTTTTCCTTGTACTTGTGCCAATCATTGTCATGATCGTAAATCCTGCGCACACCTTTGCGCGTAATTGCAGATCAAACGATGGCAGCCAATGGCATAACCCTGTCAAGCAGCGGCATCTGCCCAAATATACACATCACCAACGCTTCTATAATCTCTCAGTATCGTTAAGAATATGTGTTTGATAGGGGTAGCAGAACCGGATTCCTGTTACAGTCGATAGTAAATCACGTTATGTACATGGTACATCCAATAACGTCACACGCCAGTCAGAAATGTTTCATGCTATTATGAGAAATGGTTATTGTTGGTAATTTGTAGAAGCCAAAAATACCGCCGAGTACGATGTTGGAGTAAAGATCATCGATAGGCTGATTTTTGTGGTTCTGTCCTAAAACACTTCTTACATGTTGCTTACGAGTCTTTAACTCTCAGACTGCTCATTCGTCGCACCAAGTAACTTCTTACATGATCCGCTGTCAAGTGATTCGTAGAAGTAGTGATGCGTAATGCATGCTGGAGTGCAAACGTCCCCTCGAATCGTCGAGTTCGCAATACTGTTATCTCTTGTTCGACGATGTAACCATCGTTCAAGTAATTTGAAACTTGAAAGGAATCCTGGGGCCACTTGTTCGAAGTTATTACTTATCAGCTCCCTTAGGCTTCTAGCGCAGGTCACTAGAGCAAGACAACCCAATTAAATAGACACAATCCAATTTTTCGTACACACCGATTTAAGGAGGCATATATTTGCTAAGATATCTTTTTCGTCCGGCTATAGAAAACAACTACCCTTGATATACTCAGAACGAGCCGCTTATATCCTTCAATATAGGTGCCTCTACCGTAAGTGCTTCATTGTGATTGCCCTAATCATACGTAGTGCTCTGGTACATTTTCTTCGTGAGTGATAACAAGGAGGCTAAGCAGCTCTTCTAGCCTCCTAGATACTGGTCACTTATTTAATTCACAGGCTAGAGAGTGAAAGAGCACTACAAATATATGTCATGTGCTGTTGGCTATTATTGTTATTACAAATTACATATTAGTTACATAGAGACGCCTCCGTCTACAAACCACTGAAAGAATTTTAGGCTGAAAACGTAAGTCAATGACGTAGAAAACCACCGCGTGGGCCATTGCTCACTCATTATTTAGCGTATAGCTGCTGACGTCAGCTGGAAAAATGGCAAACAATTAATATGCAGGTTTACGAATGTATGGTTTAAAAAATTGATGATTATAAATAAATGACTGTCGCGGTGAGTATTATGACTACTGAACTAAAAACAATGGCTTAAGGCTCAACCAAGACCTTGACTCCTGTCTAATGAGTTTGTATCGATCGTCTATAAACGCTGAGCCGTGTATACGAAGACCTTTCCAATAGCACCGATGCTTAATTCCAGATCAGAAAATATTTTTTGAATCTTAGCAGGTGACTAGCGCAGGTTTCCAAGGTGTAACAGATAACGTGGCCTCAACTTTTTTTTGATGAACAGCATAGGTACAACAGGAGATGCTAATCTTAGCGCGTTAACAACGAACATCAGTTTAAGCTGAATTGATCCAGTTTACGATTTATGAGGGGTAAATTTGGCTTGCTGTAGTTTTAGGTAAAGCTGCTGCTTCCAAATGTGCATTTTAGCCGGTAATCATACTACAGAAAAAAAAATAAGAATACCTTATGCGTACAGGTATTTATTTGATGTCTACTTTTAACTTTGGTGATTGCCACTTCTTGCACTACGCCCTCAAAAATGCCATATCCTATTTGAAATTAAGCCAAATATAAAAGTTTAAAGAATACCTGAAAAAAACATTATTATCTAATAAAATATTATTATTATACACTTAATGATTTAAGTAAAATACATTCTGACGCCGAAAGATGCATCATTCTTTATTGGAGTTAGAAGGGCTTCTCTTTCAAAGGTGCGCAGTATTTCAATACTACAGGGTTCGTTCATGCGAAATGACACATAGATAGAGAAAAATATCGACGAAGTACAGGCGTTCAAGGGACACACGGTGCTTACAGGGCGCTAAAAGCGCATTGCGCGTTAAAGCTGCAGAGGAGCGCTATCTAGATTATAGGAAACATTTTGATTGTAATGCGGCGGAATGCAACTTCTATAGTAATAGTCAACAATAAGAAAGCTATCCTAGACACTAGTAAGATAAAACATGTACAGTCGTCTGCACATTAAAAAGGAAAAAGTCGTGATAATTTGGGAATGATATGTCCTTGTATTCGAGCAACTACTAAGCGTTCCATTGTCTAGCGAAATTTACAGAATCGCTCTGCTTTTTAGAGTTTGACAAAGGGCAGCGAGGTTCTGTAGTAACAGTTCAATTTTGCGCATTCAGTATCGGCCGTGATTGCATTTACTGTCTTTTCGCGACTTCAACTAATCTTTTCTTCTTAATTTAACGACTTAACGAATCTCTTTTTCACCCTCACTATTATTACATAGAAGTGTGTATAGACACAGCGATACCGACTATTTTCCGAGCTACAAATAGCAACATCGACTCCGCTGTCACCACTCTTTCCATCCATCCTTGTTGAAACGTTTCTTCTACCTCTGAGGGGAAGTTCTACCACTGGCGACCCGCGACGCCATTCCCCCCCTTCTCGAAAAGAGCTCATACGGGAGAAGAGCCTTCATTAGAAAGATGTAGTAATGGATTCCTAGGTTACTTTTAGTTAGCTCGTCCTAATGGCAACCTGCCGATCTCACCTATTGCGGCCTCACTTGCTATCTTTTACCATTTCTCGCCGCTTGATTACTTTATCGAGCCTCGGATCACCGTCGTCAGTCCATATATAATCACAGGCCATGCCCTGACAATGACGTGAAATGGCCGAGGTCACATGGAAAAAAATTCACTTCGCCTTCAGCATATTATAGCTAAATTTTTCTAAGATTATGACTTGAAAAAGTAGGAGTCGAAATACATAAAAAAAAAAAGCAAAAGATCGATTTCTTCAGTGGCATAATCGGCGTTGATGCTAAGTTATGAAACGCTATCAATTCGAAATGGATATATAAAAAAGGATTGTAGCAGAAGAGTAAAGCCTGTTCTTTGGAGATTCATGAATTTATTTTACTTAACCTGAATTCCATCTTTCCGAAAAATGAATGATTTTTCATTTCTAGCCTTTTCTTCAAAAGCGATTGCATTCTACCCAAGTTAGAATATGATGTTGTAGCAAAAAAAGTTGATGGTATGAAGGGTAGAGGGAATAGAACAATAATAATGCTGTTGTCAAGTGTAATAAGTAAAACTGCTACTAGAGAGGTCGCAATACACAGATACTTACATTCTTATAGTCCCTGAATGTGTTCCAACTGCGACTAGCTTCTGAATGGGGTCGTAAGTGACAGCTAATGGGTTATGTGGAAATCCGTGGCGAGCGGTCTGCAAACAAATGCCCCAAGTAAACAGTTACTGACCGCACATTTCCTGTTGCACCTAAATGTGCATTTGTACCTACAGAGTGGACTGAATAATTACGGTTAAAACACTTCCTCCTACTCCATCGGCCAGAAATATTCTATTAGCCCTTGAAGAAAATGGTGGTGTCTATTAAACTAAACAGCAAAGGAAAAAAACGGATTTTATTATCGATTTTTAATTACGTTTGAAACGTTATTTTTTAGATAGATATAATCCAATAAAAGTTGCAACACTGTTGTTTTTGTTGTTGTCCACCAAGGTAACGCTTTATGGGGTATATTTTATAGTATGTTTTAGCACAAACCCCGGCGAATAAATGCACATTATGCCCACCAAATAATTGTTTCTGCAATCGGACTTAACAGAAAGGCGACGGTTATCTATTGTCTTATACATCCGTCGATACTCAAGGTCACCAACAACAACAACAGCAGCAACAGCAAAGAGTCGCCTTTAATTTCCAAAATACTTGCATCAAAAAAAAACATTTTGTAGCTGCTAAGATAAATCTTAAGTGATGCAAAAAAGCTATCCACCAATCTAAAGAAGAAGAGGAGATCGTTTAGTCTACATGAAACAATTGTTTTCTAGGAAAACTTGCTAAAGCTGAGCCGTTCATTAGTTTTTAATAATGTTTCATATACTTAACATGTGTGATGTCTGACAGTAATCTAGTACTTGCAGCTTATCTTTTTGGCGAAGTAACATATTGTTTGGCATTCGAGGACCTTATCGTCTTAGATGGAGAACGTTGTACAATTTTAGAATCCTAGTTTTCTTTAACTTTACGAAACGTTTCGGGCAGCCCTCTCAGCTATTGGTGGCGCAAATACGAGGAGCTACCATAACCTTTGCGTTTCGATCTAATATAAATAAGAGGCCTAAATGCTTTTTTCATCCGAAATACTAATCTTCGAAGCTTAAGCTCGACGTAAAATTCTTTTAACTGCACAAAAAAGCACCACACATTTTCGTATAATACCAGTACACAGGTCAAAGCAAGATATATATGTTAAAAAAATCGAGTTAAAAAAGATAATGCTTGAACTAATTTTAAGGATAGCTGATATTTATAGCACACGACCTTATTGCAACGAAGTTCAGATTACTGACAAATTTTACTTGTAAGCGTTTTGTATAAAGTTTTCTTTCCACTCATAGAGATGTTCATGCTCCTTCTAGCATAAATTTGTTGTCTAGAAGTATAATGTCGGCTGGCTATTAAAGTCCAAAGTACCAGTTCACCTATTACATTGGACATATTGGCTTAGTACATGCACGATTGTTGGACACATCTAAATAAATGCTTCAGCTTTTACATTTACTATTGCTTCGCTATATCAGCTTCTCTAACTGCTTCAAAAGGGTTTTAAATTCGACTACTGAAAGCAAAACATAGAAACGACTGTGGCCCACGTGTTTCAAGTTTAGCTCATTCAACCTTGCCAAATAATCATCATACCGAAAAATCAAAAATATGATAATTGCCAATAGGTGTTAGAAATACCGCATAATGCAGACAATTTTTGACAAGAACTTGCTAAATTCCATAAATGACGCTCATGCTAACCTGGACACACGCTACAATAGGTCGCGAGGAGATTTTCACGGGATTTGAAAATGATATTTGACAACAAATACAGATAAAAGTTTCACTTATTATTTAGAGAACGACTCTATTCTTACTCAACTGGGATGAACTGCTCACACGTACATAAAAATAATTTTGAATGAGTCAGTTTAGAGTCTAGTTGAACAACTAGGAGAGTTGTCCTGCGAAGTACGGGACAGACAAAGCAGTCTTTGCAAAAAATCAATAAAAAGCTGCCGTACTAATCGCAGATAGAGAACGCACAGTCGAATGGACTGTTCGCTAATCTGGTCAACCTAAACATTTCAATGACCACTTTTTAGTTAGTTGGGCAGTAACCGAGTTAAGAATAAACGGCAAAACCCTTCAACCTTCACGCTCGCGTTTCCGGCTAACAATTTTTCCGGTTGTGCCTGCATGGCTTTCACGATGACCTTTTTTAAGTAAGCACAGTAAAACAATTTCTGTGTGGCTAATCTATCTAGTTGATAGCGGTGCGATCTTAATTAAGTCAGTCATTATATGTTTTACATGAAAACGAAATTCTATAAATAATGATACCTATGACGCCCGCCTATTCTCTTTTAAATCACACACAGCCATGTATATGTACTTGGGCTCTCACAGACCATCCCGTTTCGGCTTAGCTTGACCTGCTTAGTAAATTTAGCCCAAATGAGATTCTTGGTTGGTGCAGTGACAGAAGGGCACAGCTGGCCAACATTTGGCTTCAGCGTCCTATAGGACACATTCTTCTGTACCACTATGCATTCTTTCCTCTTTCTACATGCCGTTCCAACATATAACTGTCGTTAGCCGCGGTGTTTCAGGTCGCCCTTTTCGCCTTTTTCTATGGATCCAGCGAGCAGAGCCTGCGGAAGCTGAGATCTTTCCAGGACGTGAATGTATGTAAGGAGCACGGGGATTCCGGTTATGGAAAAGGTCTTTGCGACAACGCGCGACCGACATACACTAGCTGTTCTCTTACGACCGTAGAATGGCCTTGGAGGCTGAACTGAGCGCTATTCTCGGGCTTCGTATTTCCTTTTAAATAAAAAAAAATCTCCACATTTTCGAGAAAAGGTTGGCTTAGGTGTCGTATTTTCATTGTGGTTTCCTTCGCTCATCTGCTCCACCTGCTTTGTTTTCATTGCATTTGTTTGGCGGCTACTGCTACCGCAGTAGCAGCAACGTTCCTACGCTCCCGGAGATCTTCGATGTGCTCAAACACGGAACATCCAACGAACACGAAATCCTATTGTGTCACCTACTCACCATCAAAGCTTAGAATAGAGAAAACGTCTCTGTTCTAAGATCGTTTGAACGCTCCTTAGTAAATGCTTAATAGTTGTTATAACGGCAGCGTCGATCATCAGCTCTAAATAAATATTACTATAATTCTATTCACACATGGTAAATCTTTTAAATAAAGTAACGTTATTTCTTTTTTTTTTATATAATATATTAAATACTTGGAATAAACAGATTACAAACTAAAATTACTGCTGTTAACATTCGCACGCAACTGCAACGGTTACTGCTGCCCTTTCGCTCTATGTCGCTTGCATCCACTATCATGTTTTTCATTCAACTGCGCGTGGAACACCAGTTAAAGTCAGTAACTGGTAACTGCAGCTAGTCGCCATTGTCGTCGTCTTTATCACTGGTCCGCGATGACTGCCAGCAGCAGAATGAATTCGATACTTCGGCCAGTAGATAATAAATCTTGGAACGATGGAGCAAAGACGGAAACGACAACGCGGCATCGCGAGCAAACACCATCATTCACACGGCGAAGTAAGTTCTCCACTCTGTCCGCTCGTTCTAGTTCAACATAAATGAGTTGTCGCTGGCCGGAGATCAAAGCAGCAAAATGCAATATTAGATACAGCGCAAAGGAAAGAAAGTGTAGCAAATGTGGAACTAAAACTGTGCGGTGGAGGACCATTAGTAGTATTAGTGCGCCGCAGATGCCGCTGTTGCTGTTGTTGTTACTGCTGCGGCCAGACAAACTCAGTTGCGGTTGTTCTCGCCTCTTTTTTGGGTTTTAGCCGTTCGCCGTCACCATTGGTGTCATCGCCATCGTTGCAGTGACCCCTCTCTACAGAGGAACAAGAGGGTTGAAGGGGAAAAGTAAGAAAGAGAGAGGATCACGGCCGATCATAACGTTCAACCGAAGAAGCGTTAAGGAAGCATCCCTTGAGACGGATTTATATATCGGGCCGTTCACTGAGCGCCGAGAACCCTCGGTATTCTTTGATGGGCCACTGCACAAAAGGTACGACAAGACGCGAGTAGAAGTAGCCATGCTGTAGATTGTAGGTGGCTAACAGCAACGTCACGCCCGATAGCGACTAAGACAGCACCGATTGTGACGGTGACCGTGGCACTTCTGCTGCTGTTGCTGGAGCTAATCGCGGTGACAAAAAGACACACCTTGGCCAGAGAGAGAGCTGTGGTGAGTCTGGTGGGCGCGCATGACTTTTTACTATGTATCATTGGTTTCACACCATCTTGGCGAAACTTGTTGCTATCAGCAGCAGATACGTCAAACAACGACAAATTTCAGCCCATTTCTCGACGCCATCTTGTGCTGGCGCTAGCGTCCTGTTACCGCTTCTACTGTTATCACTATCATGGCCGCTGTTAGCGCAGACGTCGTTGCAGCGTTCGGCAGTTTCTGCCTGCATCTGTCGAGAAAAGAACTCGTCGTCCGTTGCTGTTCTCAGACCGTGTTACGGTCTGGCTGAGTGGGTTAGTTTACGCTGCTGTAGAGCGCTTGGGTAGGTACGATGCTAAGCTCCTGCGAAGTGAAATACTGCTCATAAAAGGGCACAGCCGGCTCATTAGGACCGCAAACCGGATCTTGAACCAAAACGACGCCAGTCGCAACAGGGTCTTAGCTCATCTGGCTCTCGACAGAACTACTAGAGAGTTCCTACCTAGTCTGGGTTATTTTTCAGAGTTTGTCTCCGGTCTGTCTGGGGTGCTTGCTCATTTCACTTTTTCTCCTGAAAGACAAGCCTCAAACTTGCAGCAGTTCGTACACGTGCCTTTGTTTTCTTTTTACATTTCTGCCTACGTTAAAGGCCGCACTTAGGGTAACAAACCTCCGTTTCCAATTGCAACTGTACGCTAAACTCTGCGATTTTCCTTGCTATATGCCGCTGCAAGGTCGACACCGAGTCGTCCAATCTAGCCATAAAAGCGGTAGAAGAAACGGTAGCCACTGCGAGAGAAACTAGATGAGTCGAATTATCCGTCGATAGGGGCAACGTTCTCACAAATAACAAGTAGAACAATCATCTCGTCATCTTTACTCGTCAAGCTATGTTAAGGTGGCCATCCATCGTAGGCGCTGACTTAGGGCTACTTGTGGTTCAAAGGATATTGCCATCGTGCAAGAAACCAATGCACTTTTCTGTAGTTTATCATAGCTGCGGCTCACGGAACTAACAGTAAATAATGGATGGTAAAGGACGGAGAGAAGAACTGGTGACCAGAACCACACCTGAAAGAAACAGAGACAATTAAGGGTGTGGGGCGAGCTGGGAGAAAGGACGAAGTTCGTGTGGTTTTGTGTGTGTGTGTGTGTGTGTGTGTGTGTGTGTGTGTGTGAGAGAGAGAGAGAGAGAGAAAAGAGGGAATTGGATGAAGTAGAATGAAAAAGGCCTCTAAATCGGAGCTCTAATTGGAACGCAGCCATAAGCTGTAAGGTACGAATTCCTAAGATGATAAGATCCTCGTCTGTCGATAAGCCGTATTTTGACGCCCTCCGGTAGCTTTCCTTTCTGGCGAGCTCGAAGTGCTGTGATAAACTGTTTGCCTTAAAGAGAGAGAAAATGACCAGCCACATGTACTCTGCGCAAAGTACCGCTATATAAGACTGACCTCTAGAAGTCTGTTAGAAGAGCAGCAGAGGCCAAGCATTGATCAGAAATTACTGCATTTATTATCTGATTTAATAAACGCATTTCCACTGAAGGAACAACGTGCGTCTACGCCCGGACTAGAGCCTAGACTATTTCCAATGTTTCTTCGCTTAGGAAGCAACACGTTACTACTACGGCATAACGGGGACGAATGTCCTGCCGGATTAGTGTCAAATCTTCCGCGTTAATTAATCGCTGGATAACACTCTATAGAGTTTGTTTCGTAGTTACGCACAGAAATAAACTATGGCAAAATATGCTGTTTAGTGCCGTGAGAGGATTTGTGTATTGCACTGATAATTTTTAAATAGCTATAGAACTTGTCAGAGTAGCTTGGCATAATCAGTCTGATAGATAATGACACCAGTGATCCACAAATAGTTTGCCGATTCGGAGCTTGCGATCGCAATAGTATAGCCTGAGATTTTGTATAACAGTCCTTCTTTGCTGTTAACAAGTAACAGAACTATAAAGGCGTTATCTATGATTGAAATCAAAAGGATCCATCAAATGACATTTACGTAGTCTAATTCATGTACGATCAAGCAGGGTGAAGAAGTTGGAGTTAGTAACGGTCGCATACAGTCGGAAAATGGCTGATTAGGTGAAAAATAGCCGTGTATATCGTTGTTACGTGATTACACATGTATAGAACATCTGTTTAACTGTTAAATGACATCTATACCTCTCAACTTTGTCTCGAAAGAAAATGGTAAATAACTAACTACATCGGTTTCAATTACCTAGCACATATTTCCTCACCTTTTCGATGTTAAATAGTTCCTTTCGAAGCTTATCCTCCGGGATGTCCTGCACGTCCCCCGCGTTGCCGGGCCCCTTACCTCCCGAGGGAAGTTGGGTCACGGACGAGCGGAGATTGTCGAGCACCCCTTTGAAGAAGCCGGACCTCTTCGTGTCGGCGCGCTTCATCTCCTTCTTCTTCTCCTTACTGCTGCTGCCGCCGCCTCCACCTCCGCCCCCACTGCTCTCCTTGTCCGACATTGTCGTCGTGAGCAAGACACTTCTGCGCCCTTCGTTACCGTCCCTTCCTTGTTCTCGGTTAGCTACAACTGCTTCTGGCACAAATAGCCCGCGCGCACAGGCATACAGACACAAATAAACAAATAGAGTCACTCACTAGTAGATCAAGCTATTTCACACCTAAGGCGGCGGTCAATGCACGCACACACACAGTCATACGAATCTTAAACAGGCAATTTATTTTCCCCGTATTTTATCCTGTGACGGCCGTCGTGGTGCTTTTGGTGCTGATGTTAATGATGATCAGGATCCTGCCGTTGCCTACTTAGGAGATCCAGGATCCATTTCGTTTTTCTTTATTACTTGAGGCGACGAATGTCGCCGTGCGTCGACCGTGCGAAATCTATGGCCTTTTGTCGCTGCTATTGTTTTTATTATTTTTATTACTATTTTCTGCGTACGTTGTCACACTGATTCGGGCGACTTTCGATGTTGTGATAGCAGCGCAGTGACAACAGCTGGCAAATAGAGACGGGCAGCAGCATCAGTAGGCACAATGAGAAGGTCACTCTGTGTTAACCAGTTTGTGAGGCTGTCTATTGATTTGTCTCTCTAAACGTGCTTAATTTGTATCTTATCACTATTATTATTATTATTATTCTTTACTATCACAATATATTTTCGACATAATTGTAATGCTACTCATAGTTTTACTTTGGAGCATCAATATAGCTGTTGCGACTGACGATAATATCGTTGTTGTTATTGGTTACGTCGCCGTCGTTGTTATTAACAATGATGATGAACAATGGAGGCCCACCGGAACCGACGAGGTTGAAAAACAGCAGCTCGGCAGACCGCCACCCCATGCAGATCCTCCGTTACGGACGTACTCCGCCGCTGCAACTGTTGTTGTTATCTATATTCGTATGTATACAGCGCACGCGGTGATGGACAGCCGCGAGCAGCTGCAAGCACCAGGGGCCACTCTCCCGTAATAGTAATTGTAGTGGTGACGATAAGTGGCAAACGAGAGAATAGGCGACCGCCCTGGGCCTGGCTTTCGTTTTGTGATTCGTAGCCGCCTGTTGGTCCTTTCGGGTTGTACCGTTGTCTGACGTGGCCCGCTCGTTGTTGTTGTTGTTGTTGTTTACTTTTTTGTTGTTATCTTCGTGGTCTTCGTCGTCATGTTCGGTTGCAATCTTCGCGCAGCTCCCGCAACAGCGCCTTTAAGCCACGACCGTCGCTTTCGCACGAACACTCACTCGTCCCTTAGCCGCCGTCAGCTGCAGCAATAGTCCCACAAAGCGAAACAATTGTTACAGTTACGGTTGCGACGACGTTACTAACTCCGATTGTGCCGGCGACAGCGAAAAACAGCTAAAATAACCAAAGCAGTAACAACAACAACCACAAATATCCATTAACAAGGCTAATAACAACAATAGCAACAAGAGACAACAACGATAATGCTAGTCACCATGATGTCCTTGCGGTACTACCCAAAGCAGTGCTGCCAGCTGAATAAAATCGGCCAATCTCGTAGATATACTCGATTTTTTCCGCCTTTTCTTTTTCCTGGCCTGTATTTCGTTTCTGTGCCTGTGTCAGCAGCAACAAAAACGATGATGGTGGCCGTGTTGATACTGGTTTCGATATTGACAGGCGAAATGCTTTATTCACATCGCGCCTTCGTTGTTTAGCTGGCAGTCAAATGGTAAATGGACACAAGGATGATACTATCCGAGTATGAGTGAGCGTATCTGTGTATCAGTGATCAAATCACCATCGTCGGTCCTTCTCTTTACTCAAAAGCATTATTTGTTGTCTGCTTTCCTTGTTGATTTCGTTGAATTGCGTCCTGTCTCCGTACATTGTAAGCTATAGCAGGGGCGGTAATTAGTCTCTAGTTTACAACGCACTAAAATCACTTTTACTGGATACCACACTGAATAATCAAAGTGAAATCTGTAGATTGGTACGCCACAGCAGAACACCCTTTTGTAAGATATTGGAACCTCGTTAATTTGGGGCGAGTCAAAATGGCCTTCTTCGCCGCCGTTTTAAATGGTAGACGCTTTTTGGACGCTTGGTTAGACGAACACAATGGACAAAGTCGATAAGGACTGGCGACGAAAGCTCGAATTAATTCGATTCGCGCCCACTCTCGCTTGCTCTTGCCTGTTTAGTACTCAAAGCAGATGAGAACAGTTTATGTCGATGTATTTATTGTAGTTGTCATTGTATCTTTATTATTCCTTTAATATATGTAAAGAAGTACAATATAAATTTCGAAAGAAGTATAATTAGACTCGAAAGCTAGACGACAGCCTCAACTGTAGGGTGAAAACGTGTCAGATCGACTCTAGCAGCGTCACCGGCCGAGAAAAAAAACCGATGCAGTAGTGGAAAACCGGCGGTATCGATCTGTTGATACGATTCGTGTGCGTGTACAAAACGAAGCAGTGGCTATGCTTTCGTTTCAGATCTCTATTTCTTTTTCCTTTTTATTTTTGCCTGCTTTATTGAACTACTTTTCTAATTTGGCAATACATTTCTTAAAAAGTTTTTTTGTGTTCTACTTCGAGTAATAATAAACTGCTTGGTACTCTCCGAGACAAATAGACAATAACTAACCGGCAGGTTACTATTGGTAGGTTTTTATCATGTGCTTGTAGTGCCTTCGAATGGTATCTTTGGTTTGGCTAGCTATTACGTTCGCTGTATACCTACCGGGCTAATAGACTCTGTTGTGCACTCACAGAGGCAGAACTAAATTACAATAGCGGACTAGGCGGTAGGAAATGTGTTACGGCGGAATCAATCGCAACAACAGTTGTCGCCGCCTTCATCTACCTGCTTGTTGTTGTTGTTGTTGTTGTTATTGTTGTTGTTGTTGTTGTTGTTGTTGTATCGAGAGAGACTGGCTAGCCTTTCTTAAACTGTTCGTCGTTTCCTGTGATTACGAGCAATTAACGAATAATGACACTTACGAGCGCGAAAGCTAGTAACTAATCCCTACTAACCCCGGCACTAGCACATCCAACGGAAGTACGACATTGCGATAGGCCACCTTCGTTTCGATCTATTCGCGACCTACTGACTGGTAATTGATCGATCGCCGCCTCGTTACTCTTGGCAATGCCAGTAGGAATAACAGTACTTCGTCGTGGCGCCGAACATTTAATTCAAGCCCATTGTGATGCACTCCGGCCTCGACGATGGATCGTACTTAGAGCTGAGGCACACTGTGCTGTGTGTGAGTGCATTATGAGTACAGCAGTGATGATAGTACTAGATACTGGCTGAGCTGACTGCTGTTTAACTGCTTGTTTCAATAATTAGCTAGTTAGTAAGTTTGCAGTCTTCTTCTTTGTAGGTCTTCTGACTGTTCTTATCTTCTTCAATCACATACACTCTCTGAAGTGTTTCCCGTCGCTCCTGCTGCTGTAGCTAATCTCAGGTTGAGCAGCTCAATTCTGGGACTGTTTTGTCCGATTAAAAGATAGTAAAAGTGGTAGCTATTGCCGTCGTCGTTGTAGCAACAGTTTTAATGGTAATCGAATATCATCACCAATTGTTTCTGCTGTTGTTGCCTTCGAACAGGCTGTTACCACTTGGCCTGGCCCAACGACAACCCAGTTCAGCTCAGTTTAGTTGAGCTCTGATGATGCGTTGTGGTATTTGTATCAGTCGACGCTTGTTCGTACCGCGTTCGTAACTGACTACGATAGTGATGATGCCGCAGCTGCCGCCGTTGCGGTTGTAGTGGCGATCGTCTTCGCGCTGCTGCTGGCGATTGTTACGGTGGTGGCAATGGGCCTTTTTGGCTCGCGTTGTACGAGCTTTCCGACAACGACCGACTCTGAACGCCCAACACTTCCGCGCCCAGCCGCGCTCTTGTTGCTCAGACTGCCATCATCGCCCACCGTCTATATCGTCCTTGTCGACGTCTTTTTTCACAGTCGTCGCTCACAGTTCATAGAATGTCTACCACAGTTGGCGCTCCCAGTAGCAGTAGCGGTAATGATGGTGGCCGCTGAGGGAGAGGGAGAGCGAAGACTAAACGGCTCTCGTGATACCACGACACCAGCAGCAGCCGTAGTAATAGCAGCAGTTCTGTCACCTCAACTCAGTCAGTTAGCAGCAGTGACCCTTTGCAATGGCAGCCCGCGACAGCAGAAACAGCGGCCAGCCTCTGCCAGCCTGTTTTTTTGCCTCCCTATTCGCTATTTGCCTGTCTCTCCTGTCTGCTGGCTCCTGGCGCTGTTAGCTCGAACCCGTAGCGGCAGCAGCAGCAGCAGCAGCCTTCTGTCTGCTTTACTCCTCTCTGTTGATCTCTGTCTGCCACACGCCGCTCGTCAATCGCCCGTTCGTCGGCCGCTAACTAACGAATCGGACCAAGTGACCGAACCAATAAACGACCGTTGGCCTAACCGTATAGCCAACAATACTTGGCCTGCGCCTAATCGTCTGTCCACTAATTAGCCAGTCAACACACCTTAGCAGGTTGTGGTTCCAGCTCTGTCGTCCGCTGGAAGCTGTGAGTTCAATGACGGCGAGAGCTGAGGACTTGTTGGGTGAAGAGAAGAGAACCCGTAGTGTGTAGTGGGACCGGCGAGTGATTCTAAGGGCCGAAAGCGCAGGCGCAAACCCCACTTTGACGTCCACGTGACCACACCAGAGCAAAGCAGTCAGCAGCAGAAGCCACGACACAACGATGAAGACGATGAGGTCGAAGTGATCGCGATTCGCCTCTCTTTCTCCCCCCCCCCCCTCGCGGTCCTGTCTTAGAGATCGCGCCATAGCCTAGGCCGAGGCCTTGGGACAGCCGCTGCTCCGCATTACCAACCATCAGATGCCACAGCAGTCAACATCGACATAAATTGTGTAGCGTACGCTCACATACACAACTGACGCTTACAGAGCTGCACAGTGACGCCAATAATCAGCACTGTTCATATCTAAGTAACAACAACGAAAAAATCACCATCAACCGCCACCTGCAGTATGACGTTTTCCCTCACAAAGCTAACCCTCAGGCCCCAACCGTTACATACGGCCGCCCCCAAGCCTGTAATATCCTATCAAAGCTTGTTAACCTTCTGCCAATAAGCGGCAACCGTGGCTATCTCACGAAGAACAGCAACAGCAATTTAAAACTAACGTAGCCAACACATACACTTACCCCTGTGTCCTATTACGCCTCCATTCTCATGAGACTGACAAAGCCTTATAAGCCGCCATCACTTCAGTCATTTACAGCACTCATCTAGATACAACTTAGCCGCAACAGTTCGTAGCTACTTCCCTCGCTTGTCAATTAACTTGAGTTCCTTTGATCTTGTAAGCCCCACAACAACAATAATTGGCTGCAGCGGCACTTCCAGTAACCACAACACTTGCGTGCGTGTTTTCCAGCTTGGCGAGCTCAACTAGCGCGAAAATCGCGGCGCAGCTGATCGACACACCAATGATTCCGCATCCAAAGCAGCGGCGGCAGCGGCAGCGGCAGCAGCAATAAAAGCAATTGCCCCGTAGGTTCTGTCAGGTGGCGATAATGGTGATGATGACGATGAGGACAAGACGAACGAACAAACAAACAGACAGACAGACACACTGACTGTCTGACAAACAGACAACAGAAGGATTGTTAGCACGAGGGCGACAAGCCAGCTATCAGTTACCGCGGCTGCCGTTGCCGTTGTCAGCTGACTGAATATAGAGCACAACTTATGTGATCACCTTAGCGTCGCGAGGTGGCGACGCTCGCCTGCGTGCCGGTGAATTTTGTTCGTGAATTTGGCCGTGAGTGACGCTTCAGTTCACGATGAATGCGTGACGAAAGAGGCGAGTGATGAACACAGCTGGTCACCAGTTTGCTGCATACACGCACAGATTTCCCTGCCTTCCTACGGTACACTTTAATATTACTCTAGTAATAACAATACAGATATTATGAATCAGATTAAAGGCTGTGTCTAGGATGGTGATGGCGTCGATATGCTAATACCGGACCACAAACAATTGTACTCAAACGTCGAAGTGTTGAAGTGCGCGCTGACAATGACTAGAACGGCGGTTCGCTCGCCTAATACTGTTGTCGCTGCTGGTATCCATTATCATCACCATCATCAGGGCGCCTTTAGCTGTCGTCAATTGCGCTGCCTTTGTGTCGACACTGTTCTTGTGTGGCTCTTTCCGTTTTGCTCGGCTTTTTTGCGCCAATGTACTGCTCTCTGTACCGATCTTCTAGCTAATAACGGACGCCTACGATATTGCACCTGTTGTCCGTATTGCCTCTGGTTAGATTTATACACACCGCCGTAGCCAGGAATGCTCCACTCAGTATCCAACAGCAGCAGCAGTAGCGTGACAGCCGTGCTCACGTTGACGTCCGTATTGGCCACACTGTCGTGCTATGTCTACTATATGATAATCATAATGTTAACAATGACAACAAGAGCTCTACCGCCGCTGCTGCCATCGGCTTCTATCGTCGTCGTCTGCACGTGTTTGTATGCTCCTGTACGTTGGACGACTAGAAATCTGCGTTTGCCTTCAACGCCAAGAGAGGGAGATAGACCGTCGGACCGTACCGACAATGAACGGCCCTCAAGATCGTATTTCGTTACTGCTGCAGCCGCTTTTCACAGTTATCGCTATTATTTCGCTTTGTCGTTCTGTATAGCGACTGTTTTCGTTGTGGCGATGGCTGTATCGTCGGTTTTCCTCAGAAGCAGCAGCGACGGCGTCATCATATGATGATCATAAACGACGTACTGCTGTTTTTCTTGAAGCAGTCCTAAAACAGGGCTTAGTCATAGCAGCGGCAGGCGCCTTCCACGAGCAGCACACAATTATAACCGATGCTACAGCAGTAGCGGCGCAAGCAGAAAAAGCAGTGATCAAAGCAACAACAACAGTAGACAGAGATGTACCTATTGTTGGTCATGATCCAAATGCAGATGATCGTGATTATGATGACATCGATCACTTATAACCAAACAACACTAATTCCAGCAAATAATGATTAGAATAGTAGCACCAGTGGTCATGATGGCTACATAATTGCTCCTCTCTAACCGTATGTGCGTTCGTAGCAAAGACAACTGCGCAACTAAAATTAATAGCGTTTTTTTCATTTTTTGCGTAGCTGTGGTCGGGTCGTAGTCGTAATGGGCGGCATACTGGTAGCCAGCAGCAGTAGTAGTTACCGTAGTTAGGGAAGTTATAGCGACAATAACAACAACCATAACAATAGCAATTGACTTTGCAAGAAGCTGTTGTACGCTGAGTCGTGTCTCTCGTTTTACTATACTTTCTGGAAATACATATGTATCTATATGTAAGTATGCGCGCGTGAGTGCTTGTGCGTGAATGTATATGTTTCGTTACTGACACCGCTTTACGCAGACCGCTCTGCATGCAATCGACTGAAAGAATAAGCAACTTCATCAAAACACTTCTCATCTATCTATCTATCTCCCCCGGACATTCTTTCCCTACTGCCTTCAATTGTGTTGGCAAAGGAAAACGTCGAATAGAAACAGCAGTGGCACAGACTTCCAGAACGCACCCGTCAAAAATAGCGTGTGTGGCGCCAATAACAATCATAGAATTATGCGAGGCTCCGTTCTACTGTGGTACTTTCGCGTTTCATAAGGCCTTAGAACGTGCCACATTCGAAAGTCCCAATAATGCCATATCCTGGTATCGATGCTTGCAATCAACGATCCCACGCATCGAGACCACATGCGATATTTCACAGGTACGGAAACGCTCTCATACAGTAAGAGGGAAGACATTTGCCCCGGCAAAAACTTCTACTGCAGCCCTATAGAGCGAAAGTGTAGCTATACTAAAACGTAGGCAGCTAGAAGAGGCAGCAGAAACGGATGACACGGCATGATCATACATATTCAATGTAAATAATTAAAACGTATTTAGGATGAATAACAACGCCTAAAATGAGAAATAGAAATAAACAGTACTTGGAAGTACTGTTTCCGTCAAAATGACTATAATGAACATTTTTAAACGTGTATAAACCTGTTTCTAAACCAATGTCTAAGCGATATATATTTCCGAGGTTACTTTTACAGTATAAACCAATCTAGCATTTAGTAATCTATTAGAGAACATATGATATATTTCTAATAAGTGGTTATCGAAAATAGGCATAGACATTTTTGGCTTAACAGATATTGCCTTTTCTCATATTTGTTGGTCACACACAAATGTGTGTTTTCCTTAGCCGAGTGTAAAATCAGCTGTGTTAGAACTAAAGAAACTACACGAAGATAGAACTATCTTCGTGTTAGTGTCCAGAACACTACGATTTAATAATCAAACATCGGGATGTATACATATAATCTTTGATATTTTCACTAAAAAGTATTACGTCACTACTGAAAAGCTGCTTTTTGGTAGTTCCTGGGTCATAGTTTGGGCATTTAATTTTATATTTAGTTACATGCACTTTGTAAAGTTAACTCGGCTAATTCAAGAAAGCATTTTTAATTAACATTTTTAATAAGCGACATGTGCACCGCAGCGAAAAATGCCGGATAGTTCTTTTCGTGTTTTCTAATTGTTTAGCTCTAATGATACGTTTACAGGGTAGAAATTAGAAATTGGGAATTTTATTCTATTCTCAAATTAGATTGATTTACAAACAAGAATTTTTCTTGGTTCGATCGTTTGTTTTTCTCACTTTGAAGCTGCGTTTCCATGCATGCATGTTTACCCGTTTCACTGTAAACATATAATACATGTAAAACAACGTATTTCTTCTTTTGCAGTTCTTTTGTCGTCTTTTTTGAAAAGAATTTCCAAAGTTCATTAATAATATTAACATTTTAAATAATAACATTAAGATAAAAAGGATAAAGCAGCTACTCGCTTCCCAGTGTTATTCCATTTTTCGCATCGTGTCGATATGCGATTGTGGCCGCTGCGACGGCACCAACAATGTCGCATGTTACGACCATAAGCGACAGATCATAGTCTGATCGGTCTTCTGGCAGCAGCGAGCTTGCTTTTGCCGTCTGCCCGTTTAGCGGATGGAAGTTGCGTTCCAGGCAGTCGTGGTTCACGTGATGAAATGGTACCTGCTGCAACTGCCATCGTCGCCCACTAGAAAGGGAATCAAATGAGACAAGGAAGAGAGGGCGACCGATAGATCGACCGATAAACAAACGAACCAGTATAAAGAACACCAAAAAATGATAGAGTTACTTGTTTATATATATATATATATATATATATATATATATATATATATATATAACGGACATATCTCTTTCCTTTCTACTGTACAGCATCCTTGTGAAAACCTATACGGATCGTGTACGCACTATCTTATCTTGGCACAAATCAACAAGATTATCAACAGTGCCATCATCATTGTGAACGTCGCCACTCTTGAAAAGAAGCGCCACTCAACGATTTTGTCCATCTGTTGCCTGCGTGCGTACTTTGATACAAACCAAAACGATCTTACGCGTCGATATCGTGTACTGCGTGGACCCGCAGAAACTCTCTATCGAAATGATTCTATTTTATTAGCGGCTGCAACAGCAGCACTATTACTTTTTGTTTATGAAATCTTTAATTGTTACCACTATTGCTGCTATTAGTACTAGCGCATAGTCTATGAGTAAATATAAGTACATTTGGAGCGTACCGTAAGAGAAAAAAAAAATAGTGGACCCAATGGCTAGACTAGTTTTTGTTCTAACGGACGCTCGTCCAGCTGTTGGGTTTGAGCCCATTTATGTTGTCTCGGCCAGGTAATGTCCAATACATACAAATCATGTTAGTACTCGGGTTCCTTATTAAACAAAAAAAAAACAATAGAAATGACTGGTTAACTAAGTGACCCAATGCTAAGCAGCTCGCGAGCTAATTAGTGTCACTTGCGGTATTTTTCAACTTACTCCTTTCTCAATATTATTGATCGGTGGCTGTCAACATACCAGTTGGGCTATTGTCCCTGTGCGCTGTTTAGATTTGTCTGTTTGTCGACGCGCCTCTGTGGTCTACAATTGGCCGTGTGGTATATTGTCGTGCATCATCATCGTCATTGCGTATCTTACTGTACGGGTGCTGCGTTGGTCTTTACCTATGTAATAGCGTGTCGATGACAAAATGCCGCAAGCTGATGCTGTTTCCCGTTTAGTATTGCAGGCAGGAAGGGCCCAAATGGAACACAGTGGAGTAGAGTAGTGCTTAGATGAGATTTGATGTTGCCGCTGTTGTCATTACAGTTGCTGAAAGTGTTGCTATATTACGAATCTCCTAAATCCATCGCATCCTTCGTTGTTGACGTACTGTATAATATGCAAACGTGGTAACAATTGCTAAGAAAAGTTTCCAACAAAAGGTAAATGTTAATAGAAGCAACAGCCAAAACAACGACGACGAGACGTACAACAAACGTAGATCGCAGACGCCAGTGGCAACGAAAGCACAGCAGGCATAATATAGCAAAAAAACAACTAAGCGATTCATAAAAAATAACTCTTCAATTAAATTAGTTTCAATGCAGATTTAAATGCTAACAGTAAAATCGCATTGTCAGTGTCTTCCTAAGTTACTAATATCAACTAATTACTGCTGTACAAGGGTAGGCGATTTCTGAAGTGGGGTGTACCTGAGCGGATGACAGGACTTCGTGGTAAAATACTTGCTTTCGAGTGCTGATGAGCATTCGCTCAAGTGCGGCATTCACCAGGAAACGATTTGTGTCAGGACAGGCAGCGATTATTGCCTGCTTAGAGTTCTGGATTGATAGCTTTGCCCGCTAAGCGTGAGGATTCACCGAGGTTTTGCAAATCGCTGGCTCCCGAGGAGCGTCTCCACGGACAGACCAATTGCCAAACAGCATGACTCAAACAGAGTAAGTATTGAAACAATTTAAACGCTGATCGTTCATTTAAGATAATGTCAAATTGTGCAATTACAAAGAAGATATTTTGAACAGCTGATCGCTGATGTTTACTGCTGCTAGCCTAGTTAGCTCTATTGTGAGGCTTTGTCGTCTAAAGCCAAACTAATAACGCATTGGCATTTATTTGTAAAAACTTATCCTGTTAAATACTTCTTGTGCATAACATTACAATTATAATAAGTAGTGTTTTTTAGCGAGGTTTTCAATGTATCAGTGTACAGCGGGTTAGTGGTACAGTGTAAACACCGATTTCTAATATACAAAGGAGATGTCCATAAGATGACAGTTAATAATTAGAGTGTTCGTTTAGTGCAAATAGATAAAATAGAAAGTTTATTTTGATGTGTAAAATGTAATATTAAGCTAACGGGCGACAGCCATAGTGGTCTTGAGGCACTTAGGCTGGCCTTGTGACAACTGAGTAATCTAGAACTCCTATTCTATTACCTCTGTCAATTAAATGTCTATATCATTTTAACGAAGAATTCCGTCGAGTGACTAATACTGAATATAACTATATTTATCACGCTGACAAAGCGCTCCTTATTCTAACAGGAAATTGATATTACGTTTCAACATTTCTAGAGTTTGCGTGTTATTAATAACACGTAAACTACAAAGTAAAGTAGGTGTGATATCAACTAATGAACTGAGATGATGTCCTTGCTTAATATATTTACGGCTGAACTCTTTTGAATAATTTTTTCTAGTGATGGTAAAACGTTGGTTGTTTAAAGTCGGGTCATGTTTGCGATTTCAATCTCCAACGATGTCTTAAACGCGTGCAATAATTTCGTGCGTCATACAAATGATGTTAGTACTCGGGTTCCTTATTAAACAAAAAAAAAACAATAGAAATGACTGGTTAACTAAATGACCCAATGCTAAGCAGCTCGCGAGCTAATTAGTGTCACTTGCGGTATTTTTCAACTTACTCCTTTCTCAATATTATTGATCGGTGGCTGTCAACATACCAGTTGGGCTATTGTCCCAAATATACGTATTGCGACTAATGTGCTGGTCGAATGTCATCTTATACCGAGCCTTCGTTTTATGAAAAACTGTTGACTTGTCAACTAATAAATCCTCAACATAATACAGAAGCTAAAAATATGATAGAGATACATTATTACTCATTAACCTAGATAAAAGAACAAACATTTAATATCTCACGCCTAATCAATTATCCATTTTATCCTCCCCCTAATCCACGTAATCATCGTACTGCCATCTTGCTTTAACTAACAATCGATGAGCCACATACACTTTGAACACGGATAATTCTTAATTGCATTAGAGCTTTTAGTACTGTAATTTGTGTCGGTCAATAAACATATAAAGTTAGTGGGTACTACATATATACGATTCATTATGCTCTCTCACCTCTTTGACTGTAGGGCATTTTCAAACATCTCCCTGAATCTTCCACATTTACACGTATTTAAAGTATCCTGCTGTAGCACTGTGTAGTACACTTTATGGGTTTATCGCACTTGATTGAACGATACGTGTTATTACAGTTGTATTGAGGCCTCGTCAACAGTATCCGCCTTAGAGCTCACACCATGGAGTCAGACTCCGGCGCAGGACATCCCTCAACGGGAATACATTGATGAGGACCTCAACCATCCATCACCACCCTTTGACATCAACTCAGCAGTCAACTCGAAACTTGCAGTATTCCAGGGCGACTTCTGCAATCTTCTAGTCGACGCGCTCATTAATCCTACAAATGAACACCTCAACGATAAAAACGCCTTTTCCAAGAGACTTGTCGAGAGAGCTGGACCACAGCTAAAAAAAGATCTGCAGTGTGATATAAAATGTTAGTATGACTGTTTATAAAATATAATAACAGCGGCATTTTTGCGTTTTTGGCGTCAGTATTCTTAGTTTAGGCTTACAGCCCGTGGCTCAATGAAAAAAGATTTAGACAGGTATACCTTAGAATGTAAACGCGCAACTATGCGCTAAATCGATAGTTGGAATCGAACTTGTTTAACTAAAGTCTGAGGGTCACTTTATAATTGAATAGAAGCTAATGTTTAGGATACCACAGCTGATGCAGATATGATGATTTACTTTAGCAGCTAATCAAAACACCAACTAAACCCTTCAGGAAATCTACAATACATAGTGTCAGAACATAATGGTCGTGACCCAGCAGAGTTACACCCACAATTATTTTGCGCTTTGTATCCCGGTATCTAATACGCATTTTTGGTTGACAATTAATAATGTCAAGAAAAACTTCTCTCTTCAACGCAGAGAGAATAGTATATTATATTTCTAACAGACGAAAAGTAGATGGATCTATCAAAAATTCTTTGACATAAAAAAGCTGAAGTGACGTTTCTTAGGGTAGACCTTAGTTTGCACATTACCACATCGGCAAAACGTTTTTTCGGAGGGGTTTCGGATCAGTCTTTAGTGCTGTAATGATCGCTAAACTTCGAGAAGTAGAACAGAAAAAAAAGTCATGCACTAAACTAACTAAGAGTTAGGCTTTACGAAGCTGCGCAGTGCTCTTAGTCTGCGAGTCACCAGGTCTTCACACTATGCAGTTAGAGTTTCGAGAATATCTTCCTAACAATCTTTTTTAGTGTCTTGACATATGAAAGCTAATATGCTTCATCATAGTTCCTTATGAATCTTTATAAAACTAAGTTTAGTCCAATGCAATAAATAAACAGTAAGGCAACAACTCAGCACAGTTTACCTCAGACATTAAAGCCACATCTCGGGCACCCATCACTGTATTCGCCTAATGCAATGATTTAATGAATTTCTTTGGATCCTCATTACTCGTTGATTTCTATCCAAGGTCCCATTTAGCAAAACTTTGTGTCAGTCATGCATAATTCGACGACTAACGTAAATTTATTTATATATACATTGCATAAACAGGTCACTAGATACAGAACGCACTCACAGAGAAGCGTCCAAATAAGTATACAAAACTTGTGCTTTGCACTGAATATTTGGACCTTTATTTGAAAACGGCCAGTCCGGCCGTAATTAATTTTATCCATGTTTAAAGGCCAGCTGACCAATGACCTCAGAATTTCTTTATTCCGATTGTCCAACGATTTCCGCAGCAGCTCAAATGTCTCATTGCAGTGTTAGCGTTGAAGATCTGTTGTTGCCTTTGATTCTGATAGTGTAAATAAATGATTATTATGAATTGCCTGGAGGAACCACACCTTTCTGTTCAAATACTGTCATTTCATTTATGGCAGGGTTTCGAAATTGTCTAAAACTGGCCTTGGCGTTCAGACTAATGCTAGATCTGTCGCTTTTTTGTTGCGTTATCTTATCCATTTAGACAGGGCACGAATGAGTAAAGCTCTATGCAGGTAGTCTCTGCAATACATACGCATTAGACACATTGGCAGAGATAAAGACCATAGGCGACGAGATATAACTCTAATCATGAGTGCGATTTGTTACTCGACAAAGCACCCCGTGAATGTTTTTGGTACGGAAGGGAGAGGTGGGACATTCGGGCACTATATCAAAATTCCTTGTCTTGAATCTGAAACCATCATTTTTTTCTGAAACCCAGTGTAAAATAAGGGTAAGCAATTGCTGATACCACTTTTATAGTCGAAAGTACGCAGGTTAAGCTAAATGATGTCGAATACACTTTCTTTACAACTAATTCACGTGAAATAACTAATTTCATCATATTGGGGCCATTACTTTTATATTATACGTGACATACTGAAGGATAATAGCGGAAAAATGTGTCGGCTTACAAGTATCTTCCTACTATAGATTCCCTGTATCGTCTTAACGGCTTCAGCATAGGACTTTTGAATATAGCTTATATATAATTAATATAATAGGGCTTTTTTTTCAAATTCTTTTATTCAAGATGCACCTATATCATATTACTGCTAGATGAATACACTACCGCGTTATAAAATAATCGGTATGAATATCTATATGAAATTTTCATGTAATAGTGTGCTTTCGTTTTTCAGCATGTCGTACTGGCGAAGCGAGGATAACATCAGGTTACGATCTTCTTTGCCAATACGTAGTCCATACGGTGGGCCCAAAGTATCAGCAACGATATCTTTCAGCATCCGAGAGTGCGTTGTATTCATCCTATCGAAGCAGTTTATCTCTCATGAAAGAACACAACATATCCACTTTGGCTATTCCTCCACTTCACTCTTCAAGGAGGGGCTTCCCACCGGTCGAAGGCGCACACATTGCTCTACGTGGGTAGACGTTTATAATTACTATTATTTTATTTTTGTTGCGTTACTACATTTCCTACTACGTAATATAGTCGAATTTCGTCACCATTATGCTGCAATGTTGCTTGTTGCATATGGGACGGAATAATCGACGATAACAGCTTTTAAATCCTAAAAATATGGGAACCAACAAATTAACTTAAACGCACTTGAATAAACTGATTCCTTAAACAGTATTAGGGCGTGTATTACGACAATGCAGAGTAAGGTAACCATTATCTCTACTTGTTTTCGGTGCACACAGCTGATGGCGAATCAGTTACTTTCTATTGTAGATTTTCTATAGACGCCTGATTGTGAACGCTTGATGGTACCTGGAAACGTTAAAACAAAAACCCACATTCTGTCAGAATCCCCCTATCCTATATTTGTATATTCGCTGTGTCAAAATTATCTTATTCAGGCCTGGCATTTGACAACAAAGCTACCTAGTTTAAATGTATATATACGGAAATATATATGGAACGTACAGTGTTCCATACCGGAAAACTTAGCGGTAACATGATTGAAATTAAAATGTTTGTGTGTGAGGTGGTACATAATCTAGGTATGTTTTTATAGTCCATGTGAAAAAAATAAATATAATGAATGATAATCAAGATTAATGTTAATGAATAAATTTATGAAAAGCTTGTATCTCGCCGCATGGCCATGCGGCTTGTTGTAGGCAGATATGTAAATGGTATATGGACCATAAATTATCTTACATTTGACTGACTGGTGATAGCATTACAGCCAAATATATTTTAGGCATATTGTGTTAGTCCGTGAGTATTTAACACAATTTAATACAATTATTCAATACAGTAAATTTGTGTTTTTTTTATCCTTGTGTAGGAACTATCCGAAGGTTTCTGGAGGAGTTCGTTCAGGACCCATGCGTGCAGCGTATAGTTCTTCTTTTGGATAAGGTCGATCTGGAAATCTATTCGCTACTTCTACCACTGTATTTTCCCCGTACAAAGGCCGAGCAGCGACGCGCTATGCATGGCTTACCCAGGGATCTCGGAGGCAAGCACGGCGAGCCCGTTATACCGGAGCGACAGATTCGCATACAAGATACACCCTTCTTTCGCACAGGGGGTACGTATGTTTTATCTATCTTGTCTAAAAATGGACGACATTTTCTGTGCTTTCTGTACCGTTTTATAACTATTTGACGTTTGATCTCGTTTTTTAGCTTGCCATTATAAGTTATTAATGGAATAAAAAAATCTTAGTCTAGTTGTTTTATTTGAAGCTGTAGAGAACTGTACATGATACAAATGAAAAAAAAAAAACATTTTACGGTTTTTTTTAAAGTGTTATACTAATACATTGTTATATAGTTTTCAAAAGCGTATTGCTCATTTGCTTTTGTCATTTTCAGAGAATCCACCTGATTTTGAAGATCTTGACATGTCCGTATGTGTGGGCAAATCGTCATTTGCCCGAATGCAACACGATGTTGATAACAAGCGGAAATATCGTCAGCATGAAGCGGACAGTCTAACCTCTGAGGTGTCTCGCAAGAACCGTTATGAACGTCTTTTAAGAAAAGCAAAAGAAATGGATTTCCGCGAAATCCGCGAGGCCAACATTATTTACCGTTCTGGTGTGGACAAATTCGGAAGGACCGTGTTCATATTTGTCGGAAGGAATTACGCTCCGAAAGAGGTAATGACATCGTTCATTTTTCTGTGAAGCCTTTGGCGGCATAAACGATATGTATGAGAGATTTTCTCGTACTCTACTATCAATCCTGTGAAACATATAGTTAACGTATAATATCTATTACTTGTAACATGTGTCTACACTGAAAAAGCCCGCTGTTAGCCCTTTGGCTAAACTACCATGATCATGCTCGAATAGTGCCAGACATGAAGTAAACTGTGCATGAAAAGTGTCACTATCATCTCTGTTGCTCTGTTGTCATACATCCATTATGAATCTATTCAGGTCTCCTTTGAAGCGCTATGCTGCTATATAATCCGTTTGATGGACAAGGAGGTTGCCCAGCCGTTCGTAGTTGTCTATCTACACTCCTGCACCGGCAACCGTAATTACATGTCATATACACAACTGCGAGAGTTCTACCAGACGCTGGACTACAGATATAAGAAGAATCTCCAGCTGATGTACATCGTCCATCCTACACTTTGGAGCAGGGTATTTATCCGACTTGCTCTTGGCGAAAATCTATTACGTACTTTTTCACTGAATTTCAAACCACCGCTCAGAATGAATCTGTGACAAACCCTATCAATATGTTAGACTTGACTGTTTTGTGAATCGTCGTAAGCATATCACAATGGTTTTTTTCTTGCTTACAAAAGGACAAACGCTCCATTCCACAGATGATAACTAACTGTTAGTCTTCGAAGGCATTACATCATATCACCTTGACCGTTCGGCTGTCGTTTTCTAACCAGTTACCATATTCAGGCTCCAAATGGGCTGGCTTTTAACCTTTTTCCAAGCCCTCCTGATTGCAGGACATATTAAGTAGCACGTATAGGATGTTTCCGTACAAAAGTACTGAAGCCAGTTTCTTCGATCAGAGTCAAATCGATCTAACTAAATTTTGCATTCTTTCGGTGTCTTTGACAGAAGCGCTCAAGATATTTAGCAGCTCCTCGCATTCGAAAAATCAGTTAAAATACATGGTTTTTGGCTTACGTCCTAAACCAGCTACACCGTTTGTCCAAAAAGGGCATAAGCTCGTACTTCATATGGTGTTCGCTCTTTTCATGCGAAAATTACATCTTTCACACAACTTTCAAGGTGTGTTTGCAAATACAACTTTGCCAATTGATCGACGGTAGCTAGGCAACCCAAAAGTGTAACGCAACGTGTTGCTATGGGCCCCTCTTTTGCACGGAAGCGCTCCGTCTGACTATTGCCGTTGTTTCCCGAGAATCTGAACAAAATACGACGGTATTCGACTATGTTACTTTTATTTGATTTCGGACATACACTAAATAAGAATTTTAAGGTTGCAAAATTTCTGGTTAAAAGGTGCATTGAAGTGCACGAAAATAATTTATCCGTGCAAATCTCATCTCACTATATGCTCCTATATTTTGTAATTCTAACACTTATGAAGGAGAAGTCATTCGATCGTACTTTGTAAAATTCATAGACGAACTTTTCCTTATATTTGATATACTAGTGAATTGTTATTATTATTTACTCTGCATTTTAGCTAAGCATGTGGTGGTTTACGACAATTACAACGTCTGGACTGTCGCGCAAGGTTCGTCTCCTGGGTGGAATTGAGTACCTTTATTTAAACATCTCTCCGGATCAACTAAATGTGCCTCAGTTCGTATTAGACTACGACTATTCGGTATGGAAGGCTTTGTTTAATCCACTCACATGTAGAAAGGTCATTATTCATATAGAACATTTGGTAGAACTAATAACGTGTACAAACACGAATTTGTTTATTTCTGAAGACTGCATAATTTAAAAAATATCGATACAGTAATCAGCTGTTATTCGGAGAATATGTTTCTTTTGGCAAAACAGTTTGTCCGTCCGTTAAAAGCAATTCTTACATGGAAAGGTTTGGTCGGTTTATTGCAGGTAAACGGGGCGCGATACTATGACTTCAGCCCACAACCACCGGCTAATTCCGGTCTGTAAAACTATAAAGTTTTTTTCTGTTGATGCGTTGTTATTTATTCCTCTTTCGGCCTAGTGTCACACAGGAAAACCTGTTATTGAAGATAACTAACAGCCTTTTAAAAATATTCACTATTTGTTCATCGTTTATGCTTGTGGGTGGAGGCTTCTGCGCTTGCCGTGGTATTCTACATAGAACTATAGACAGTACTCTATAAAATACAGGAAAAACAACGAAGTACGTGTGATAAATTATGCATCTGTCATATGGATTAATCGCCTCATGCAGTATTTGGTTTGACCTCTTGTATTATTGTGATGATTGGATCGAGTTATCATCAATGCCCAACAGTCTATGAATTCAATCGAGCAAAAAGGCTAAAAGACGTCAACACGACTCCGCCAACTTCGCGTTATAATCATTACTATTGGTATCATTGTTCGAATGCTATGTACGGATTGATCGTGTTACTATTACGACAACCTATGCAGCGCGTAGTACCCTCATTGCTTAGCGATAGCTTAAGAATTGTTAAACTCCCATGGACTTGGTCCAAAAAACGCTCTTATCATTTTTGTATGTGTTTTTATTATTCACGACAAATTTGCCTTTTTGCGAAATCCTGAATACCGAGCCGAATAGCAAAAACATCATGTGCTTCTCTAGGCAAGTATGGGCAACATCATAAACGCAAAACCGATACTGGTCTTTTAGGCTTAGGCTGGGTGAGAAGACTATGGGAAAGGTAATAGCAATATGTATTTTTGCATAACTGTGACACATATACATAGAAAGTATGTCACTATGTACATAGTATAGTTATGGACGATTTGGCGCCGTATAAATTGGTAATCAGGTCTTTCAGCTATTATATTATTAATATAATAAATAAACGTTGACTGTATAAAATATAGTGCTCTAACTTGATATGTGTTCACTTATGTGGTGTCGCTTGAAATGTTTATCGCGTGATACAATTATCACCGCGCTTACCGTATCTGTGGTAGATTATTAGTAAATTATTTTTGTCGATGAGTTAATATCACTATTATTATTATTATTATAGTAATTGATCAACTCATTCGACACGCAATATTATGTACGACGCGGCGGTTCTTTTCGATTTAGAGCTTAGACAAGATTAATAAAGATGAATAGCCCTATTGTTCTAAATAGCAATTGTATGTTGCGATGTTCATTGGCTTCAAAAGTGACGCTGTGTTTCTTTTCGTTCTTAGCTTAGCAAAACAAAACGATCTCTTTATAGATCTTAACATGAGAACTTAGAATAAGAACTTAACGTAATAAGCTTCATTAATAATCAATTAATAATCACGAATGCACATTCAGATTAGAAATCAAAGGAACTAAATGTACCAATCAATCTAGTAGATTGTGTTTTTAACAGTGAATTTCTCGACATTGTCCACTTATAATAGGTGCTGGTACTTAATTAATTAAAAGAAACGCTAATTGTTTTTAGATAACCTGTGCCAATTTCCAACCATGTTGTTGTCCAACCAACAACAACAATTTATCTAGTTCACTCGATATAAATTACGCTTTATTATAAAATTACCATGGCATTTACTATATTATAGTATGTAATAACTAAAATATACTAAGAAGGAACAGATTCGCCAGCCTATCTAGCTTGTAATACCATAGTAAATGGCTATGAACACAACATGAGTAGCAACTTTTCACTGTAAGAGTATTGCTGACGAACGAATCAATTCATTGAAGGTCTAACTAATGGCAACGATAGAATATGATATTTTTGGCACTTTGGTCTATCACTATCACGTGACGTATTAATTATTGTAAAGTTATTTTTTATCCTACAAAATTCTAAGCTACCATCAATAAGATCACACTTCGTCACGCTTCATTTATTTGTACGCTTCATAGCACGAGATAACGTGAACTTTAAAAAAGTCAGTTCGATCAATTTTTCTGGTCCTATTTTCTTCGGTAATATTTGATCTGCGCTGAGCGTTTAACGGGTCAGCATAACATCACCAGGGTGTCTAAAAGCAACAAAATTCATTTTTTGAAAGGAATCTGAAGGCTAATATTTATCTATAGTCCCTACTGGTTCACAACTAGACTGAATGTTCCGAGTTTTATGTCCCAATAGATCCGTCAAGTATTTTACCGCACGGATTGGCTTACAAAAGAAATTCAAAGTTGGTCGGCGATAAAAGGAGTGGTCTCACATACATTATACAGTCCATTTTAAATGGTTTTTCATATTGACAGGATACTTAGAGTATAGCCAGTTTTTATTAGAGTCTACACTCAATAGAAATCGGCTTTTCTTATCACAGTCCGGTTAAGTTACAATTAGGACTGTACGAATACTACTGATAACATTTGAGTAAAAAAAAACTAAGACGAAATTGTTTTCATACGACTCTTTCGACCAATTTTTATAATTATAGCAGCTCTGCGATTACCTACTAACGTTGTTCTAAATAGTTTACTTTTTAAATTTTCATTACTTGAAGGCCTACTAAACAAAAAAAAATGTCGCATGTGTACTTCAAATGTACAAAAATCCTATTTACCTATTCCATTAAAAATTGTTTATGTATGTAATGGATTTACAATAAAAGCGAGGCTTGAAGACTTGCTATATATTTGAGGTGAAGACTTGAAGAAATATCTTTTGAATTAAATTATTTGTCCAGATAATAGTTAATAAAGATGTAAAACGTATGAAAAATATGCCAAATAATTCACCATGGTCTATGATTTTATTCGAGATCACTTTTTTGGTTTATGAGACACACGACGTTAGAACAAGATGCCCGCTTTGTAGCCACTCTTGTATATCTATTCTCTGCGTTGGAGTCAAATGCTTCAAAAAAATGCCTTTGCATATTCCCTAATAAGAATGTTGTCCGGCTTCCTCGTCTGGGGAATTGTCCTACATTTATCATGATGTTGTTATCAATTAGGCGTCTTAATACTCTGTCGTTTTGCTATTTTTGTACAGTGCTAATAAATATATTACCTTCATGATAATGATATTATAAATAGCGCCTGGTGCTTCTGAAATGTTTCTAATTGAGTGAACAAGACCTCACCACCGGACGGTGCTTTACGCGTTTCCTTTGAATTACCGCGCATTCCTTCCGATGCGCTCTTCCCGCGCGGTCTACAGTTAGCGGGGGTTTGGTGGGTGTGCGCTCAGCATTTAGTATCACCCCACCGTTACTTTAACGGAAGGTTCAGTATGGTGTAGCCGGTTGTAAGCAGAGGTTGTTGGTTGGCCAGGACAGATGCTCGGCCGGCTAAAGATCAGTGGCCATGTACGAATCCATGATTAAATGGAGGGGTCGACCCATTCTTCCGCCAGTGGTAAGTACTTGCTAACAGCTCAGTTTAGAACAGTGATTGAGTTAACGGAAGTAAGCACTACCGGCTGGGCCTTGAACAAGGCCGCCAATGACATCTGTGACATTCCTAAGACATAAACAGGGCGCTTCTATTCTAGTTGTGCATAGTTCAGAGCATTTGTATCAGCCTAGATAACCATAAAATGGCTTGACATCCAGATTGGACTTCAGAAGTGGAAGCATGTCGCTAGTAAAAGTAACGGACCAATGTCGCGCCAGAAATGATCTGTTTAGCTCTTCGTCGTTGTTGTTAGTATCGTTGTCGCTGTTGTTGTTGTTGTTGTTGTTGTTGTTGTTGTTGTCGTCGCTGTTGTTACTACTGTTTTCCATTGTTTCGTGTTTTTCGTTGCGTTGAGCCTGACATTCCTAGCGGCTCGACGGAACTTTTCGGATTACCGCGCTGTACTTATATACCGGATACTTTTCTTCTATTTCAGATGACACTCGAGAAGAGAACGGAAGCGCGCCAACTACGCACCGAAGCTGTTCGACGGGAACAGCTGCGTGCCGTAAGTAGTGGCGGGCAGATTTATTAGTACCGAATACTTGATTAGTATCAATCTTTTCTTGACATTTAATCATTAAAAATAAATACTCAATGGAAAAAACATAGAGTTTGTCAACGGCGATCGTTTGTATCATAAAGCGAGAGCGTTCTAGAAGGAGTGTAAAACCATTTCCATCTATGGTCTAATACGTGTATACATGTTTATCTTGATATTCGAGTACAATACAATAAGCCACAATAAAACTCTCGGCAGTTGTCGGCCAAATATCTTATCCTCTTTTGTCTTGATCACCTCACTCCTTAGCGTATTATTCCACTCCAAGAAACTTCCGGTTTCCTCTTAACATTCGCGTCACATAGCAGCACCGGGCTCAATGGTACCAATTTTATCTGCCTTATTCATTTTGTGGCGTTACTTCATTTCGATGTACCACACATTTGGAGACAAAGTATGTCCCTAACGCTAGGAAGCTGTCTAAAGTTAAAGGTTTGGAGGAGGACAAAGACAACAATTGTTTTGAGAAATACCTAACGCAATTGCGATATTCCCTTCCATATATATATATGCCATATATGCATATATATATGCCTATTTACACGCAGAGTCGTGCGCGCAGGAGACTTTGCGATTTTGCTTTACCTTTTCATCTACTATCTTCTATTACGCTCTCGTTGGACGCATTTTCTCATCTCCATCCTTCATAGTCCACTCTATAAAATGGTAGTGGTCGGCTATCGTCATCTGGGTGTTGCAGGGCATCATTCTGTGCGAGAGTATGGATTTGTGCGCTTTCCATGCACGTAATTGATAGCCCATATATAAACGACCAGAGTGCACTTAACTTTCCTTTGGTATTGTAAGTTCTCTTTGTAGCCGTTGGACATTGTAATAAAGGACTCAAAGGCCGCAATATGTTTCACGGGCTAGATATCTATGCAGATTTTGCTCGAGGGCCACCAGAAAAATTTTTGGGTAAAACTCTTTGCCATCAGATCGGTCCCATTTCAGTGAAGGTATTTGAACGTTCGCATACGAACCGCATAACAAGATCGGTGTACAAGTCGCGTATGATCCTATGCGAAAAATTTAATGTTGAGCAATATTCGTAAGCGGATTCGGTGTGCATCTTTCAATCATCAGCCATCAGCTGGCAAAGTTGCTTAGCTAATTTTTTTCGTGTGGCAAAGTATTTTGTCTCAATAAGGCCCTATCGTTTCTTTGCTGCTTTCAAACTTTCAACTTTTACATTTTCATGAAACGATTTACGATTTGTTGCGTTCAGTCATATTTATTCCTGCCGTTCCCATAGCTGTAGGAATGCGTGCGTCCATGTGTGTCTAGACGCTACTAACACAGTGATAGTACAGTGGGCAATACGTACTATACTGAGTGTGCTGAGTGAGGCAGTAATACGTCATTATTCTTCTCGAGTCTTTTTCCTTTTCTTATTCACCTTATCATCGAACATGTTACTATAAGTTATCATATCACATCTATTGAAACTTGCAATATCGTCTACGGCTAGATCACCAGCACGACTCCTCCGTTGATTCTGGCCACTGCAGCACCCTGCTTTCTTATCTCCAATTCCCAGTTCCCAATTTCCCAGCGCCTACTCTTTTTCCTCTCTAAAACTGCAAATGTTAGATCGCTTCCATTTTGGCTCGACCGCTACACATCTCACACTGAGGCCTAAAACGAAAGATGTGGCGAAGTGTTGATTGGCAGTCAACGTAGCCTAACGAAAATGCGAGACGGGACTGATGTGAATGATGGAACAGATGACGCAGTCTGTCAGATGAGTACCTTTGTTTTTATCTATAAGAGAAAGCGTTCGCGCGCCTGTACACGTATCTCCATGTAATGGACAACGGGATTAAGATAGGTGGTTTACTCTGACGCACCGAAGCGACAGCAGCAGTGTCCCTGAGATGACATGAACACTCCAGCAGCCGTTAGTCAAACTAGCTCACTTTATTTTACGCTTCTAGTTTACGGCGCTTCCTGCGCTGTATCGTGTCAGCCTCTTCTTGTTTCACGCTCTTCTGTCTTGTCTGATACCTTAATCATCACCACCACTAACTACTAGTACTACTACATTTTTAAACTCTGAGGTACAGCGAAATATAGCGCTGAGTTTATCCTCAAGAGGCTGCGTCGCATCGATAAACGTTAATCTACGCAAGCAACTGAGTAATAATAATGACTCGATCAGTCACATACACACACACTGAGAGGATGAATCGTCTATAATGAATTTAATTTGCTTCTTTAAAGGGTTCGCCTAAGAAAGTTTGAACCGGGTAAGCAGTTAGCCTTAAACCCAGATGGACACCATATTCTAGTAGCCTGTCTAAGAGCCCGCAATAAGGCTCCATTATCGCTTCGACAGAGCCCTTTCCGAATAAATTGGAACTACGACGCGCGAGGCGACAACGTTAGCGAACTTATTTTTGCATTCGGTTTGACATCGTTGCTGTCACTGTAGCCGTATGCAGTCCCGTTTCGACCAGTTAGGCTTTCAAAAGATACAATCGGTATTAGCACTATGGTTTAGCGGGGAGGTGCGCGACACCATATCGTAGGTAATGTTGTAACATGTGTATAGATCTATACTTCCATTGTATAACTATCACACAAAGAAAACAATTAGTTCAACTTGAATTTCTACGTTTTGCTGTATAAATTATGCAACAAAAGCATTATGAGTGCCGTTTACCTCAGTAAAACGTAAGTGTTAAATGTGTAATTTCTAAGTCGTTGTACTATAAGGCAACGATAACAATCTTTTTGTAGATTAAGTGGTCTTTGCCGATTATATATGTAAAAGTGTATTTTGCTGTTGTAATTGCCTGAAAACACAGCAGCAGATTCGTTTATCAGGTCTGATTCATATCAATATTTAGTAAATTTTCAAGGACCCTACTAACAAAAAGCTTTACCATAATTAATAATATTAATAATAATTAATAAAATAATACCGGTTAAAATAATGCCGGTTAATAAAATTATACCATGGCTGTCTAAATTTGAATGCGACCGGAGACCCGAACTAAGTAAAAAAATGCTGGTCATAATATAGGTCATAATATATGGTCACATTGTCTCGATGAACTTTCTACTGATAACTATCAGACAATCAGCTTACAACGCTTAAAAGGCCCTTTAGACTCCAGCCTAGCATTAAAAACACTTCGTACTATCCTTTACAGAAAGACAATAAATATGAAGAGCATATGCAACTGTTAGAATTATCAGGACATTTGACAGATGTATACTAAGAATTTTAAGACATAACGTAACATAACATTAAATCTTTCTCAAAAAAAGAAGTCGGTTCCTTTGGACTGTGTAATTAAAGAACCAGGGCTCCGAAGGTTGAAATAAACAGACATATTATTTACCGAAGAGAACGATCTTAAAGACGACAATTCGAAAGACAGGCAAACGATCCCAGTGTCTCAAGGACAATTGGACTGAAAGGCTCTGGCAGAGTTCGAAGTCGACCAAACAGCTCCAGTCCGTAGCTTCTAGAAGTTATTACAAACCTATCGTATTGTATAATCCCTCTAGACTGGAAGTGCAATAGAAGACACAGGATTTGGCCGGTTTTTGGCTAGCCACAAGAGAAAGTCTGTTATCGCAACTGTAAAATTTCCTTATATGAAGCGGGCCAAAAGAGTCGCCATGAAACTCCTCTGATGTCCAAGCAATTAACATTAATTAACAGAATTATTTCGCATGCTCGGGCTTTGCTTGACATAGGGGCTTATCCCTTATGAAAGGCTCTTGTTTAGTACGTTCGTTTTACTTCTGAACTAAGTGAAAATTGTTATGGCTATTATTTTTCTTCTGTTTTGAACATCACGTTATACGTACTCGGAGAAGCTATCTGCTTTTTTCTGTTTACATACATATTTTAGCCATTATTCTGTTCGGGCCGAAGCCAGGAGGATCGGTAATACTTGAAAGGCAATAACAAATGCTTTGAAAGAAAAGATATGCGAACAAAGCACTCTCATCTATTGATAATTTTATCAACACTATTCGGTTGTTGTTTATGCTGGTTCCTATCACTGTTGCGATTGCCGTTCTCACCCGCTAGTAGGCAACAAACATTTATTCCGTCCAGAACCCTTTTCTAGACGTGCGGCAGCTTATCGTTGCTACCGGATTTTTTCGATATGACGAAGTTGTCACAATGACAAAATGGATAGTAATAGGGAGATATTAGAGCGCCTACGTCTAATAGTTTGTTCATTGTACTTCGTAAAATTTTTGCGTTGTAACTTTGATTTTACTTTGTAAACAACTAAACTAGCGACATCGCTGTCTTTAGTTTGGACGAGTCTTCCTTTGCTTCGGGTTACCAAAGCGAAACGTATGAAAAGACGTAACAAGCACTTATCAAATTTAACGTCTGCGATGTTGGAGGACCTGCAATTCGCCATGTACGAGACTGATCGGCGAGTCCTGCAAGCCAAAACCAGACTGGAATCGAGAGCGAAAAGTAACATTAAGCCAAAAGCAAGAAAAGACACGTGAACCAACCCGCCAGATGCTAAATAGCTTTACAGTGTGCGCACTAGAATATACACTAGCTTTCTCGGCTGTCCTCAAAGGTTGCAACGATACATTCAATATGTACTTGCGACTTATTTACCGGCTCTGCAGAATGAACAAACACGGTTTTACTAGCAGCTTTGCCGTCTGGCTAATGTTAGTGCTTGTCTCGTGATTTTTTCATGTGTAATGGACGGTGAGCTGTCGACTCGACGAGGAAACGGGTGGACCAAGCATATTCTCTATCTATAATCAAAGCCAGAGAGGAAGAAAGACTGAAAGACCGTGCGATAAGTTTAACAGACTATGCGACTGAGCGCGACCAAAGTTCGGGATAGGCGTCTCCCTGGTACCAGCAGAATAGGAGCTTTATTATTTTCGGTTGAAGGGGTTTGTGATGGGGAAAAACCGCTACGAGGGAATATCATGGCGGCGTATCGCAACTGTTCGTGAAGAAGGGACAAACGCGGCGCTGCAAATAAAATGGACGTTGGGAGCTTCATGCTGATTTCTGACTTCCGTCCTGTCTGTATTAGATTATGATATACTTCGAAAGTCACTCCTTTCCTCGACTTGATAATTCACACCTAACTATATATCGCTCATATTTTATGACAATAAAAGTAACAGTAATAACGGCTGTCTTGGTAGTTATAATAGCAATGACGGCGTAGTGCTACTACTGACGATGATAATGATGAAAATGCTAGGAAAAAAAAATTGGCAACTGCTACATATTTCTGGTTAAGACAGTTTTGACAAAATAGTCTTCTTGCAGGGCTGAGGCTTCATCAAAGGCTAACCAGAGTACGCTTATGCATACTAAATATGTAGGGTGAAATTTGGTTTCTCAAGGTAGTCATAATTGCCGGGAACAAAGAAGTATATTTTTAACGATACCGATAATGCTTGTTTGTAAAGGAGTACATGCTTGCTTCGATATATTGTGATAATCAAAAACAGTTAAAGCCTGCACTGGATACACATACATATTTGTTGGATAAAGCCCAACGAAATGCGGACAAGTGCCTCTTTGTTACAATCGCATAAGATTGGAAGGAGAAACTGGCTACAACAAAAAGGAAAAAATACATATATCTCAGCATGTAAAACATTATTAAGCTCCAAATTTTTCTTACACGATTTACATTTTTCTTAACAACTATATAAAGTCAGCACTAATAAAAGTACCATTGTCTCACCTCTTACCATCTAGGTATCATACGTGCTTTAAATGTTATGCACGAAAAGGTCACGCTGTATGGCTCAGAAACTATATGGACCACTACATTTTTTCTAGTAAAAGAACTTAGGCTTTAAAAAACTACACTGACAAAACTTTAATTCACAGAACATACGTACACAGTTCAGAAATGCTGTCCAGTTTGCATTACTGGATTTTTTTTTATTCGACTAAATTTCAAAAAGGTAGCATTATTCGGGGCCAAGCATTTTGCATTTAAAAGATAAATAGGGAAAATAACCAGCACGTTTCTCTGCTACAGGTAGGCTGAAAAGCAACTTGCATACATTATAAAAATGACTACATTTATTGATTAGTATGGCCGACCTGGGGGCTACACTGGTGACTGCGTTTCGAATATATATGAAACCGAATGCAGTTAAATGCTAATTTTATAGACAAGATTGTGAAAGCTAAATAACCTCAAAATACAATTCAGCCTAGTAAGGATGCGTAATTGCATAAATTTAAACTAACGTGGCACACGTCGCTGCCGTCAACAACGGGCCACTTGTCCTTGTGTCGGTAAAAGATTTTCACAAGTTTATTGACCCTCGTTCGGACAAACAACAATATTGTCTACTTATGCAACACATTGCGGATAATCACGAGTATGGATCAAAATTAGCCGTGGATAATTATTTATACCAGAATGGATAGCTACGATAGCTATACAAGCTTCAGTGTTTTACCTGAACTTTGAAAAACCTTTCTTTAAAACTTTGAAAAAAAGAGCAGTTTGCCAATGTGCCAGTATTTAGGTCATTCAAAACTTTAGCAGACGAAATTTTCTGTATTATTATTGTTTGATTCATTGTTCGCCCCTTGCTGCGAAGTGCTTCGCTGAGTATCATGCGCATCAGCTACTTTATATCAATTAAAATTCGTCTCGAAATCGACATGCGCAATGAAAACGACTGAGTGTTCATATGGTTGTGCGAATGGTTACTAATTCAATCTGTGTATACAAAGCTTAGGCTGATATTTGTACTATTTAGGTAACACTGTAAATTTATTTTATTGAGTTTCGTTCTTTTATTTTCGTTTTTTGATACCAAGTTTATAATTTAGACGACGCCTATTTCAGGATATCTATTTTTTTACTAAAACATTGAGGTCAGTTTTCAAAACCATGAAAAAAATCCTTAGTTTAAAAGCTAATGAGCGCTTCCGCTAGGTAGGCGCTAAAATTATTTCCGCGCGATTTCGGTGTCTACGTCACAATATTAAAGCTCCTTATCAGGGAAAAATGAGAATGAATGAATTTTATGGCATCTTTTGATGCTTGTTTCTAAGAGACGTGTGCAGAGAGCACTTTGTTACAATCACGCTGCTACCACAGCCTACATATAGCCTTTTTTTACCTACGCCTACATAAAGGATGGCCGCGTGACAGTATTAAAACACTAGTAAATTATAACAGCTTTCTACTTTGTAGAGATACAAAGTTGTGACTAATATTGTTTGCGAAAAATTTATATCGATGAGTCATAACACAGTATCCATAAAGTCGAAGGCAAAAATATATTGCGTCTAAAATTGTCAACAAATACATTATATGTGTAACAAGTTTCTCCAACATTGCTTAGTGTATTGAGGGCTGTTAAATACTACACACAGGCGTCTGCTTATACTATCTTTACTTATTAACATACCGTCGTAGTCATGGCCGTGGGGCCATCTTGAGCACAAAGTACTCGTGACGGCCGTGCCTTGACTTGCTACTTGAAGTTTGTTGCTTTGCGCCGGCAGACCTAAAATAGCGTAACAGCATCTTTTCGCCGTAAGGAAAAAGCGTAATGAGCATCCAGACACGCATAATTAGAAACTCTACCTGTAACGTGGCCATATACTGTTTTAGGGTAAGCCTACGATTAAATATAGGAGAGCTATAAGATAAAACGTTTGCGGGTCATAAGTGCGACAGATTCTCTAACTCCTGGTTCGAAGCAGAGATCGAATTACCACTACATACTTTAAAAATACCTCAACGCAGTCGAACACACATTTTAGATTAATAAAAGAACTATCCATAAGACATTTTGCTCTTTTTCGAACAATTAGCGCCATTACCAAAACGTAATTAACACGTGGCGCATATTTACCTTACATCTAAAATAGAACAAAACCATTGTATGTATTGCATAGATATACAAAAACGGCAAATCCCAGTATTTGAAAAATACCCCTTAAATCTAACAAAAGATTCTGATTGTAAAAAGCCCATATATGCGACAAACTAGGTACATTGTCATGCATTTACTTAAAGCATATTTTATTTCAAATAGCATTTGAAAACCGCAACACCTTTTCTGTAATACTGCAACTAGTGATCACGCGGAAGGTTGCAGAACGGCTAAGAAGAATTTGAACTCGGACCGAAGAAATTCGGGCCCACTATAGGCCGAATTGGTTCCAATGCATTGGTCCAAGTGATTGGTTCTGCAAGTTTTTGTGGATGGTGTGTGGCACACATGAAATGAGAGAGAAGAAGTGCTTAAGTTTAGGAAATTATAATCACGCCAGAAGTTTTTACGTATATGGTGCACTTGGATGAGGCGCCAACCACTTAGTCATTGTCATATTATAGAAGTAAGGTCCCTATAAATTATAAATGTCCTCCCATTTACAGTAAGATTGCGTAGTTTTTTTTAATACGAATCATGCATAAGCTAAGGAAAAAGGCTATGATTTACTTCCTAATATTTACACAGATATAGGCATTCTTAGTTTAGCGTTCTTATATAGGTACCAATCGCCGGCTGAATGTAAAACAAACGCAATTATGATTTTGTTTTGTCATGAGTATTTACATATTTGACCCTGATGATATTACAGAAACAATCCTCTAAAGTAGCCGGAGCCGCTAAAGTTGATGATGATGGAGATCCACACGAATCTTCTATTACTTCGTCACTTTTGGGTGGAGAAAACACGGAAAATTCGCGTAGACTAACCCGTTGGTATAGCGAAGAGGAGCCTACGAACATAGCTCGTCCTACTACATCGCAGAGTTCAAGTCTCTCAGTCACTGGTAGTTCATGGACCAAGGATGGCTTAACTAATCAGGGTATTTCACAACGTATTCCTCGCTCGTCTTCGGCACAAGCAAATCTTCACCAAACGAGACCTTCCACACATGTACGAAGTCGGCTGCTTAACTACCGTGCTAATGACAGTGCACTGATGAAGTCGTCAGCGACAGGATTGGGCAAGGACGGGAGCGTGACGTACTGTGCTTCTTGGACAAGGCCGGAGGGTGCGTTCTAGCGATTGCATGGTCCACACGGTACGCGCACAACTGACTCGGTGCCAGCACGCAGTTGCACGTAGTAATGACCCATTCGGGGCAACTGATATCTATCTTGTTTCCTTCGTTCATTATTAAACTTGATTTGAAGGCTTCCACAAGAACATAAAGGGTAACTCATATATTCGAGTTAACTGCTTGTCACAAGGGCAAAGCATCATACGCATATTCGAGTTTTTCTATGAAAACGGCATGCGCTTTCATAATGTAAGTTTATTTAAAACCGACTATAATAGCAAATACAGCTCTAATCTTTGAAAGAAACTGAACACAGGAAACGACATAAGAAGTATCATACGGAATAATATAAATGAACGAGTTTACTAATTATCCTATTGTAAACACTAACGCGTACTTTCATGTTTAATTACCTTTAAAAGCAGCACTCAGCGATTCATTCTATATTTTGGTCCAAATATTTTTTCTTCCTTTCATGTATTGCGCATTCATTTGCTTTTGAAGTATACGTGCGATAAAAGGTAGAAAACACGCTTTATATGCAGTTTTGCATACACAAACTGACTGCAAATTAAATAATTAAACAAATGAAAACATTTCCTATTTGTATTCCATCCGCTCAGCAATGGCCAATTTATGCAAATTTAGTGGATTCACCGGTTACACTAAAGTTTGGCTACTTTTAAAGCCAGTTTAGCTCTTGAACTCTTTTACCGAAGCAAGTCAGTTCAGGCCGTCTCTTTGACCACTGCTGGATACGACGGCATACAATTATGTAAGTACATTTCTAAGCATCGCTGGCATGTGACCGCTCCTCGCTAGAGCGAAATATTACTATTCATTTATGGACGCATTTTTTCTTATCTAATATTGGCCTGCTAGCCGGCAATACAGCTTCGTTGATGACAGCTCGACGATACGTGAAGCCCAGCGCACGAGTACCATCTATATACTGTATGCGGTAGGCCGAATACGATTTTGCATTTTCTTTCCTCATTAGGCGACTGGTCATAACTACAACCTCCTGTCAAAGAGTGTCACAACCTTTCAGGGGCATAGAGTGACAGTTTTAAAAGGCTGCTAATCCTTAATACCTGTGAACAAATACGGACACCCAACTCGATATTTAGCGAACGCTCGCCTTTCAGATATCAGCAAAGGTCATTATAACCAACGCCGCGAACTTTACATTAAAATGCCCGTCATTATGTGCCACACAACTTCATGACCGCCCTACCCTTTGTTTTTACCAAAGTCTTCATTAAGGTTTATCGAAAAACGGTTATGATCTCCTTATCTCCCATTCTGTGCCGTCCTTCGTATCTTATATATATATATATATATATATATGCATGCTGGCTTTATGTACTGGACATCCATATAAATGCATTCACATTGACATTCTGCTGTCGATATCTGATCGAGATCGAGAACAGTTGTTATCCTCCTCGGTGCCGCTACAGATATCGTCATTACTCTTCAACGGAATAATCAACAAAAATCGATGAGCTATTGCTACACTCCTTGAAATGCGCTCCTCAGCTACTTCTTCACCACAATGCACTGCCGTGTGTGTCTTCAGTATCTGTACTTATTCTAATGCTCTCGTATGTTGTCACATTACTGTTTAGCCTTTTGGTCAAACCAATTGTACGCTATGCTGGACCGCGTTGTATTACGTTACACTTTGCATGTACTGTGTGTCTATTCGTCTTTCGTAGTAGTAGTAGTATATAGTCTCGTTCTTATTTCTAGCAAGCCCCTATTACTTTTTTTCAATTCTTTCTTTTATAATTTTTATTGATCCACACAGGGCCCCCAATTGCCGCGAGACGATCTCGAGCGTTACGAAGAACTGTGCATAGTTCGCGCCGAACTGTTGAGACACAAAGTATTCATGAAGAGGCTAACAAGCAGAAGTCTACCATTTATAGAAATAGCAAACAATCCTTCGTACCGGACAGAACTATGGATGATTGCGAATTGACCGAAAACACGAATGACTCTTTACGTTTAGATGACCCTACTGGATCAATTGCTGAACCAATCCCTGGCAGCCCGGGACGACTTGAAAGGGGTGGCACCTTTATCGTTGTACCCTCTTCTTCAACGTCCGGCGCCACGGAGGCTATCTTACCGACTTCAGCTACAGGGGCGGAAATAGACGATATGGCTGAGCAGATGCACGTCGAAGTGTCAGTGAAAACTCCTGGTACTCAGGAGTCCGACAGTGCCAGTTACGAATCTGCCACCGAAGAAGACTTTTCGTTAACGCAAAGGTAGGTAAAATGATGTTATTTTTAAAGAAAAATCAACAGGCAATCTATATTATGAATATCGCACATGTGCAAGTTGCACAGCATTAATAACTTATCCCTCATATATCTTCTAAGTGCTATTTCCTAGAAGAACATTACATTTTACCATCATAATATACTTCATATGTTATTATTATTGATTTACGCTCGTAAGTCTGTATACATTCGTAGACCGTCAGCTTATCGTAGAATCCTCTCGTGGTAGATTGAAAATTGTCCTTCTAACATTAATTTGGTTCACCTTTTTACATGAATCACTACACATTGTAGGCCTTCTTCTTTTCTTCTTCTGTTCTAATAAATTCTAGAATAAATATAGGCCGCTAGTGCCTATATTTATTCTAGAATTTTTTCAAAACGCGTTTCCATATTATTTAGTTTTTATCTACGGAAGGCTTTCTCCGCTAGTTGACCCGTGTTTGAACACTGTTTTTGTAAACTAAGAAGTGTCTCTGTAAGTTGCATTCTATAACATTTATATATGTTTCTGAAATTTCTCAGGCAAAGCCGTGCTGAGATCAAACTGAGACAGCATATATATATATATATATATATATATGAGCTATTTTTTAATCTGATGATTGCTAATGCATACTGCGAATAGTTTAAATAAAGTTTCTGTAAATTCTTATTATATATGCTATTTACATGAATGATTCTGTCCTGAGACGCTTCACAGGTTCACTAAATTCTAGTCCCGGTTGCATGATTATTCGAAATTAGCTTGTTGTGGGGAGGAAGTTACACATTTACTCTATTAATATTGGTTTCGTAGTTTAATGGAAATATTGGCTTCGTTCCAATCGCCTAAATCGCTCTTTTGTGTAAAAAAAATTGTATTATTTGTGTCTTTGTTGTATTTATTTCGCTATTATGGCACAATAGCAGGAGAATCAAGAGCTTTTTACAGGTTATAGATATTTACTGATGCCATAAATAGGCAGGTTGTACACATGAGTAAATTTATCTTTCGTCTCTTTTCCATGGAAGAGAAGAAATTCAAAAAGAGAAAAAAATATATCTATGCCTATATACGCTAGATGCTAATCCACCTTGGTCTATTTTGGTCCTAATCCATTGCTATTATTGGCCTCCAAAATCGTCATCATCATATCGTGTGTGTAACGGGATGTGGTACTCTTAAATTCCTCAATAGCAAAGAAATCTAAATCGACAAACAGTTTAGACCTGTTCATTTTGTTATCGCTTTTTTCACTTCCTAACCTTTGAAATCCTAGTTGTACCAATTCATTGAGCTGACAACTTCACAAAGGGATAGTGTTTGCTGAAAAAGTTTTGTCTGGGTCGATAGCTAAGCTTCTGGTTTCTCTCAGCTAAGTAGAGACAAGGTTGTTTTTGACTTAGTTGAATTTTATCCATTAACCATTCTCGTCTTGCAAGGTAGGCTCTTCTGTCCTGTTACTCATTCATCGATGCGTGATTCTTCCACATATTGAGCTATGTCAATTAGCTCAATACACTTTGCCCTTTGGTCCCGATACTCTCCCTCTACTGATCGATCGATCGATCAAGACACCGCTGGCGGTTTGCCCTTCATTTTTGGCATTGTTCCACCATGCACGTCTCTATTACCTCGTGTTATGATAGTTTATTTATTTCATATATGGGTGGTCTTAACAACAAAAGGTATAGAGACTATTAACTACGCATTAGAAAATGTGTATGTGTAGAAAATATGAAGAGGTTACTATGAAGAACGATATCGTTTATCAACAACGAAAGTTGTTTTTTCGTGATTTCTAATCCAATTTTTCAGAAAAGACGAAATAAACATACACTGCACGCTATTTATTTGTTGTCGCAATTTTACAAATGAGTTTTTTTTTACTACATTCGTGTTAAACATGTCCAAGACACCCTTGCCATCTTGCGCTTCAAATTAGGTGCTACCCTGGCCTATTGAAATTATGACAGCTCTGGTATAATCACGATGAAAATAACTATTTATTCTCAACTTAGTTACTCAAAACACAAATTTAAAGGAGTGAATTACAGTCAGCGTAACTTTGGTATAACCCGTAAATGTTACTTTTATGTGCAGTTCTTATACTGTTATAAATGCACATATTCATTCTGTTCATAGTAATGTGCAAAACAGTTTGAATCAGACAGGGCTTCTACGAGGCCTTGTAGAAGACATTATGGCTGAAGAAGCTTACTGCGTTTCAACTAATTCACCCTTAACAACAGTTACTAGTCCATCCATAACATAAACGCGCCAAAGTTCAAAAGCAAGATATGCTTATGTTGGTGTTAGTACGTGAAATGGGCAGGCAAGTGAATGTTGCTTACAACGAAACCACAATCATTGTTTTTTTAGAACGAAACTCTAAGAATGGCATTTCTTATGTTGAACGGCATAAATATATTTCTATAACTTTTGGCAATTGAAAAATTCCAGAGGAAAGTCTAATTTCTCGATTTCAGGCTTGTTCTATGTATTTTCTTTTTTGTATCAAAACTTGACTTTCTGTAAGCTGATAAAGGTTAGCAGCATTTTGATTATTGTAACTCGAATCCGTATATTCAAGCACACTAAAGGGCTAAAAAAAAAGGGCTTCACTGTTTATTTAGGCATTCCACATTCTAAAATTCGCAATATATTTTATCTAATATTTTAGTTTTTAGGAAGAAATGAAGTTAAGGGAATTAGGTTATCTCCACTGAACACGCTAATAATTTTTAAAGCCAAAACTACTTCATTGTTCTCCAATGAACTTTATAGCTTACGGTGCACGGCAAACGGTTTAGAGTTGCCTACATGGGCAAAGCTTTTGAAAGTAGTACGCATTCAGTTGCAAGAAGTCTTCGCCATCCTTACTGTGAATTTACTAGGAAATTTTCCAAGTTGGTAGCGAATTTTGTGGCACTAGCTTGTTTATTCCTTAAGTGGTCAAAAAAAACGGTGTGGCGTATCCAAGCGGGACGTGGATGGGCATAAAAATATGGACGATTGTATTTATATGTAATAGTCATAAACTTCAAAATTAACTGTTATGTATACGCCAGCTTTTATGCACATATGTGCGCATAAATATTTTTCAACTCTACGCAAAATACACACAATATTACTGCGGCTTAATTTTATAGTCGTGTAGATCTTTGTACGTGCAAATGAATTAAGTACCATACGAAGCGCTAAGATGTGCTTTAATTAATCTGAATGCTAAAACGACGCTACAGTGTATGGACCATTTATTAAATAATCAAAAAATATTTGCCGAATTTATTCTCACCTTGTCCATTTAGCAATACAACGTACTAGCAGCTTGAAAAGCAGGTCTATCTGTAGGTGCTCCCTACTCACATGGACTCATAAGCCCGAAAGTAAAGGCACTTTATATAATTACAGCCACTATTTTTGTAACAAAAAGCTTAGCCAGTGATTACCTCCGTATGCGAACGTCGTTCGTGCGTACCTGTATCCGTCAAATGCCGAAATCAATTATTTCGGTAAGCTTTTACCAAAAGATTATAACGGAATACTATTACAGCGGGAATTAAGTCAAAGTCATGGTACATAATAATTTAATCATCCCCCAGTGTTTACCCGTAGACCTTCAGAGGAATAATACTATAGTAAGTCCGCATGCTGATAAGAGATTTCCCTAATATCCATGTGTCGCAAAAGCTTTATTTGCTGCGCTAGATCTGCTTACCAGGCGTCCAAAGGTAATCTGATTTTTCTGTCAGAATCAAATGTTTACAGTTTATTGGGTCGATGCAATCAAAGTTTGCCTGTTCGGCATCCGATCGTGGAGGCTGCCGCTTCGAGAAATTTGGCACTGATAACTTACACACATGCCTTCACAGGGGATCTATATGGGTTTGGGAGTCGGCGAAATGCGATAATAGGCGCGTATAACAGCTACAAAGTAGTCGTTTAAGCATTTTGTTTTTAAATGAATATGGCACATCAAAAAACAGAATTCTGATTACTTCTATTTTTAATTCTTATATGTTATGTAATATAATTACATTTGTTTTGAATCCTAAATTTTTATGAATTTTGACATAAACGAAAGACAGTATATTGGATTAAATGATTCCGATGTTGAAGCCGAGTGGAATTGCTACTTAAATGGGTGGGAATCGAATACGTGTTCTATGGACATGAGTAATGTGGCACCATTCTTACTGGTCGAAAACAAAGCACCAATATTATACTTGTGCTTGGCTTAGATTTTGACAAGCTTTCTTTATACTTTTCTGCTGCCTAAGCTTTTAAGGGCACTGCAGTATTGGTACTAGGCTGCATCTCCCTTTTTAGAGAACGATTATTAACAAAATGTCGTGGCCTCATAGTTTACCATTGTTGTTGCCAACATCGGTAAGGTGGTTATTTTATTTTTTCTATCCAGCTGCCCGTTACCAAACGGATTTATCTTCATCACTCCTTGTTTTTTTGGCGTAGCAAAGTTGCACTTTCTGAAGCGTATTCAAGTTTTTCTAAGCTCGTCCATTCCGTTACTTGTTATTCTTGTTTCTAATGTTGTTGTTGTTGCTGTTGTTATTGTTTTGTCACAGCCCGAACGTGAGTTGGCCACGAGACGATAATAAACCGGAAGAGAGTTCGTCTACCAGTAGTACACTCACAACCACAAGCAGCTCGGTCAAAAAAGAGCTACTGCGACCAAATACAGAGGAATCAGCGCCAAAAACAACCGCCGCAGCCCCCGCCGTGTCCGTCCGTTCGAATTTGTTGGTGAGAGCCGCGACTGTTGATACCAGCAAAATGTTGACCCACCAAGAAGGAAATGAATGCTCTTCTAAACAAACTACGCTTGGAAAGGCCGACGAAATCTGCTCTGGAGATACTGCTTTATCGTCTTCGGAGGGCGCTCCCAGGGTTTACAAAACATTGGGCTACGAAGCGTCGGGCAGCGCCCGACGACCCTCCTCGCTTAAGATGCCCGGCTGCTTATTCGATAAGGTCTACCCGCCTGCTAGTAGTGACGTGATCACGCTAGAATATCTCAATGAAACAGCCGCACAAAGCTCAGTAACTATTGCGACATGCAATGATCATGATGACGGCCTTACCATTAGTGATTGTAGAAGTAGCGGGGACACCAGTGCTACTGAAAGCAGCAATATCCATTTGGCGGCTGCTAGTCCAGTTCCCCGAAGAACGGATGAAGAGGAGGGATCAGACGATAAAATTGAAACAGGATATCCCGCTTTACTGTGTTCAGAGGCGAACAAGGGGCAGATAGAGACGCAGCAAGTCGACGCAACGACTGACGCTCGATCATCACTGGATAGTGGAGATGAAACAGGAAAGGACGTTAGTGCCATTGGGATCGGGAATGATGAGGTGAAAGATGCTTATAGCGAGCTGTGCGCCCGGGATAAAGAGCAAGAAGGTTGTGAATCTCACAAATGCCTGGGAAGGAGGCATACGTACCTTATACTTCAGGCCAAGCAGAAGACTCCGGTAAGTCATTTCCACTGTACCGTTTTTAAGGTACATATTTATGATTCTAAATATGATGATATGTGATTCACAGAGATTATTTTAAATAGTTTTAGAAACCGATTTACATAGATTTTAATAGAGAGTTCGTGAAGAGTGTCCCCTCACAAGCGTAGTTTAGTTATGAGACAGATAACATGCGTATATAAACACACTTAATAACGCCGAACAAATGGTCTATCGTTCAAAGTGAAACCTACGAATATCGTAAGAAACTGATGAATAGTTTAGTCGAGTCTGTTGTGATGTTTTTTCGCGGAATGTTCTAATAGAACCGAATAATAGGCAGTCTGAAATTATTGTTGCAATGCAGTTATCTATGTTCCACAAAGCTACACGTGCCTTGTTTTTAATTGATTTTCCTTTTAGACAAATCTGGTGACTACTCCCGAAGAGAGCAACTTGCAGGAGTTGGCCTCTCGTCTGTCCAATTGCGCACAGTTGGTAACCTCTTTAACTCCACGTAGTAGTCCTGTGATCAATAAGTCTTTGGCAAGTCTTCACGAGAGCTTCCGAAGGGCGACTTCACTGACGGCGGCCTCTCACCTGTTAGAACCCACTGCGACATCTTCATCGGATCAAAACAGCCAGCAAAGTTGTACGTTGTTTGAGCAGGCCGAAGACCTCAACGCAAATCGCCCCCTACACGGCAACTCTCGCAGAGACTGTGTCGTCACAAATGAGGACAAGCAAAAACGAACCAGAAACAACGGGCAGCACCATCTAATCACAAACAACCCACTGGAAGAAATTCAAAATTCACCAGTCGTTTCTAGCTCCAGTACGACCGAGATGTCGTCTTCGAACATTCTACCTACTCCATTGCCTCGATCAACCTTCACCATTTCCACGGAAGATATTTGTTGGGGAGATCGAAATGGCAATCGGAATTTGATAGAACTCCAGAAGGTTGACCTACATTCCGCCACCGCTCGTGGCTTCGAAAAGTTTACAGCTCTTTGTAAAGGACACCTGTGCAGGAAACTGCTTGCCTCAAGCAGGGTACAAAAGCTCATCAGGGACATTGTGGTAGGTTTCCACTTAGCTTGTATTAATCATAAAATCAAAGCAGTCATTTTCAATCATTTGACCAATATTTATTCCTAAAATTATGCTTCATAGTAATTGGCGAAGTAAAAGTGATTCGTATCGATCGTATCAAGATAATACCACAGCGAAGTAAAGGGTTTATAATGGGGTCAAACGTCAAAAAAGTCCTTAGAATAAAATGGCATGTTTCGAAAGAATCTTATAGTTGACCCAGCATCTATTTCAACAATAAGCCTGCTTTAGTCCGAACTGAGAATCTACGTTTTCTTAAGACTTACTTTATTCGCACACGATGTGTATTGCATGTCTACGTTTTGAAAACAATAGACCTACGCCTTAGACCCAACTATTACGTTGCTGTTGCTTTTTTTTTTGTATACATAAACATACTTACAATAAGAACCCACTGTGTTCGTAGAAGTTGGATACATTTTGATCACAAATCATAGCATACATGAACAAACAGTCATAGTGTTATGGAGGATATCCTTTTCACGGAATAAACGATCAATTTGGTTTGCGATGGCGAAAATGGTCGCACGATCGCTTGTAGATCCGTAGCTCATGTGGCAGATGCATCGAGCTGAATCTGTCGTACTTCCTAAACATCAGTATTTACATTCGTACATTTATTTAAATGTACGATAGATGAAATTAATCTTTTATTGGCATATCAAATACAATTTTGCATTCGGTCCTCTGCCTAAAAAATGAACAGGCTAGAATTAACTTGTGACATAACTGTTTCATTTTGTTTTTGCACGCGCCTTTATGTGGATCACCACAATCACCCGTTCATCTTCCTCAGGATAGCTAATATAAAAATCTGTCTATATATATATATATATACCTGGCTAGTATAATAATAGTATATACATATACATAGATAAAAAAGACTGTGGGTAAATACACTCATTAACTATTACTGTCCTACGACTATACATAGGTGCCAAACTGCTCCAAAAAAGAGCATATTATATATAATCGACGGGGAACGGACTTAGAGTTATACTTTTATATATAGAGACTGTGGGCAGATATAAAAAATCTCTCTTTCACACATACACACATTCACAAAGCAACTAGTAAAATAGAGATGAAACCTCAGGCACATAATTTGTTGTGTGAATGTGTGTGTGTTTAGAAACTGCCAGTTGTAGTCTGAACTAGGAATGACTGCATACATTAGCTAGCAAGTGACGCGAAAAACGAGAAGGTTTGCCTAAGTACATGAGAGAGTACATATGTAGATTCATACATGCGGTTAGACAGGCAGACGATGCTCGAATAAATTTGTTTTCGTAAATATGTATTAATTGGTTGTCGCTATCCGCAGCGAGAGCGCCTCATGAAAGAATAGAAGAATTTAAATGTGCGCTTGTGTTGACTTATCGCGTACTATTCTTACTGAACGGGTTGTCGGGTGATGTGCTCTCGATACGGAACTTACAAACATACAAACTAAGTTAGAGAAACTTATTGTGTTGTTAATCAATGCATTCCCAAATCAACCGCTCATAAAACCAATAGTCATAGTCAATCGCACTATTCAACTATCGCTTAACCAGCGAAGCAGCATCACTCACCCACTCACAAAGTCAACCAATAAATGAATGGATCAATTCCGAATAAATTAACCAATTAAAGAATCAACACGGATATATGATGAATGAATATAATGAGTGGCCTTTGGATGGCGCTTCTATGCGGATGGCTATTCATCGAATTCACTCTACTGCTGATTCACGTAAGTTGCACTCTACACAGAAACACAGCCACGCAATGCTTGGCCGGCTAGATTTAGCCAACTTGAGCACCAAACGGAGCACAATTACCTGCTTGTATCTCTTTTACTGCGCCCGCCGGCTTACTATGCTAATTGTCGATTTATTTGATGTTAGTTGTTTTTGCTTCTAATCGCTTATTCAATCCGCCATCGATATATACTATACAAATATTTGACCACACTGCAGGCCTATAGTTTCTTCACTAGACGCTACAGCTTAAAAATGTAACATATGAGTAAATTAACGATGAAAGCATTTGACGAAAGGCATACGATTAAGGGCTTATCCTAAGGTTATCTTTTTAGCACATGGTGATCGGCTTTCACAAATACACGGTTAATCCACTACCAATATCTTAAAGACTCAGCGCGCAGTACCCATAAACATACATTAATTAATAAAACTTTACCTCGAATCCTTCCCTTAATAGTTGCACATAAATTATGAGAGTATAATGTTTTGGTAGTTTTCTTATTTAATATTTTCATTTATTTGTTCACTTCCATCATGTCTGGTAGGATATGGTACGGATGGCAATTAGCCTACATCAACCCTTACCTGAGTGTGGAGTCGCACGCCGTAAAGAACTTCGGAAAGCAACAAAGGACAACAACAGTACTATTGAGTCAGAAGAAGAAGCGACGGCTGACATGCCGCATAGTGAGGAGGATATGTTATTTCATGAGAGAATACTTCTTGGTCTTGAGGGATCATGCCGCGAGCTGCATCGGCTGTTTTTTGATACCTCGCCAGCGGAACGAGTGGCTTTGATGAGAAATGGAGAAGCATTAGAAAAAAGTTTGGAAACTGTTATGCACTTCACCCGAACGCCTGTGCGGCCGAAAAAACTGAGCTCGGCCACACTTAAACGAAGGTTGCGCAAGTTACTCGAGCAGCAGCATATAACAGTTGGGTAAGTCTGCCCTTGGACTATAAATATAAATAATAAAAAGCGAGCAATGAACATAAAGATGTATTCGTTCTATTTATCACGCAGCAAAATGCTATCAACACTGATCATTGTAACAAAACAGATCTCAAAAGAAAACATTTTTTTATCAAGTCTTCGGACTCATAGCTGCTATTCTTCTTTGTTCACTTGAAGCTGCCGGCGTCGACTGAAAGTCGTATCTGTTGGAGAAATAATAAATCCACGTCAGATGAAGTTTAGATAAAATGTTCATTTCATTTACTTGCACAAAATGTATTTTTTATATGCGATTCGAATTTTAGGCCTTCTAAGTCCGGATTCCGTCGAAGCTGTTGCGCTACATCATCAAGCCACCGTGTCTATTAACAGGCAGCAGATAGCAATAACCTTAAAGCTGTTTGTTAAGCCTTTTTATTCCATTCCAGATGTGTCTAGTGCGCCAAACGCTTAATATGAGAAACAGGTGGACAGTAATTTAGCCGCGTAGGAGGTAAATATAAATTGGTTAAGATGTGCAAAACAGGCAGTTGCCGACCTCTTTAAAGATAAAAAAAAAGTCATAGTAAATAAAGTCGCTCGGCTGAGACTTGTAACCAATTGTACATTTTGTCACCCGACTCAGTTTGACGTGCTTGCTTCCTGTTTTCGACATCAAATATCTAAGGCGTATCAATTTTTACCATATCTAAGCCGTTTTGATTTTACTAGAATCCCGGTCAATATAAACGCTATTGTTAACGCTATCAAGTCTTACATGGTAAAGGCACATAGAAAATTGTTGAAAATACACCCAAAGATATAGTCTAATTTGTTGGAAAACTGACACGATGAAAATTGACGCGATAGAAATCATACTGATAAAGTCTAAATTGAGTACTCAACAATCGAAAAAAATACCAAGCATCATAATAACAATCATGCACGTTTATCGCTAAATACAGTCACGGCACTCATGCCCACACGTATATACCACAGAGAAATATCGATTAACAAATTCACTCTAAACATATATATTTACATATAAGAAATTAATATATAACAAATCTATCCAAACGGCCAACACGTTTGGCAAATAATATAATTGATTAATAAAAATTATATTGGACTAATAAATATAATAAATCTGCAAAGTAATAAAAATGCTTTTATGATAAGGTGATGATAACAATAGGATATTTTATATCAAAGTTCTCCTGAATAAAAATTGTGTACGTTAACTTGAAAAATGAAAAACTGCCTTGTTTACGGCTAAGACTAATGTCTAATAAGGCAGACGAAATGTAGATCATAAACAACATATATACATATCACTTTTTTAGTTCTCTAGTTTCTATAGGTTTATAGATTAGGAGATTACACCTGTTGGTTGTTACTGTAATGGCGTCACGCATTTGTTCTTCTTTTTCTGCTAGATTTTTAGCAGATTAGAACAATTTATATAGTTCGAAGTTTCGTATGAAAACACTGACAGACACCCGCATGCGCTGTAGTAACTCGATAATCGATTTTCTCGGTATGTTGCATAAGCTAGCATTAACTTTTGTGCGATCTTTTTAGCTAGAGTATGATATCCTCTGCCTGATTAGAGTACTCACCTATACATTTAAATTATCTTTATATATGCAAATAAAATAGTTCGGACGTATTATTATTTTGTAATTTTTACTAACATCTTAATTACCAAGCTAATTAGCATGGGACTTAATGGACATAGACCCCCTTTTACATCTAGCATTTTTGACTTAAATTGGTTTCATATACCGAATAGAACTCAAAGATAAATATCACTATAATAAATGTATTTCCGGTTTTGACCAGCTCTAGGTATACGATACCCTCCAGCCGGCGGGCTAATCGTTAGTCGATGGGGTCGTCATTGCTGCAATTAAGATTAGCGATTGCGATGCGAGAAAGATTAAGCGATTTAAGATGAAAGAAAACACTATTGATAACTTGTTTATGTTATTTTTGTTCATTTGTTCATTTATGTGCAGTCTAATCGCGCTTAAACATTATTTCCTGTATATAAGAAAGCCTCGGTTGACCCGCCTATAATCACATGCGTAACATTTGCATTCCTGTTTACTTGCTTTTTTCACAGTGACTATTATACGGAAATATTAATCTTACAATATGTTTATGTCTATGCTTATTTGAGAACCTTCGCGTAGGATTTCTATATGGCTTACCACCAATATAATTACATGATTTCACAAAATTAGCTACAGCTTTTTATCTCATAATATCCCATAGTAAAACATTTGTTTCGATATCATAATAGAAATAATGCCATATCAGTAGACCTCTTAATTAGTCATCAAAAATCTGTAAGACGATCCATCTATAGATGATCATTTGTAGAGGTGTATATATATACTATTCATTTTTTCGAGTAGCAAGAACGTAGGTGCATTCAAAGACCTATAGGTACAGGTTTTCTGTAATACTGGTGAAGAGTGACATACCAGATAAATATAAAGTAGCAACAATAACCAGAGTAACCAGTTAGCAAACAATTAAACATTTGGCCACTCTCCAAATAACTTACAACCCATCCACGCAGCACCTCCCAACTTAGCCTATTTCATAAAAAATGATACAGAATATGGGGTTCCCGTAGATCGTTAACGAAAGCGATTGCTAGTAAAAATCATATCTAGTATCCCGCGGAAAAAAGGAACGGACGAATTATAATTGCTACTTGTGCCGTCGTGGGTTTTAGATCTGTTGCTATGTCCATTTCGATCACATTATAATCAGTGGACTCTTTTTTCTTATACTCGATCAGCTCTTCCGGTCCGCGGTACTCGATTTCTTAAAGAATTGTAAGTATAGTTCCTATTTCCCTCAAAAGCTTCACTTTTTTCGTAAAAGTGATAACCACTTTCTAATTATTGTGTAGATGGTCCAGCTTCTCGCTCACTTCTTAGCTGCTCTTCCGCTTGCTGTTGTCTCCACATTGATGCGTATTTTTTATTGAGGCTTAGAAGCTCCTCGTGAGTGCCCTGCTCGACAATTTCGCCGTGTTCTAGGACGATGATTTGATTTGCATTGATAATCGTCGAAAGCCGATGCGCGATTACTATGGATGTCCTGTTCTCGAGAACGTCATTGAGCGCCTTCTGCACATTCCGTTCGGTCTGTGTGTCAAGCGCGGAAGTAGCCTCATCGAGGACAATTATTGAAGGCGCCTTTAGTATTGTTCGAGCGATTGCAACTCGCTGTTTCTCGCCACCACTCAACTTCAAGCCACGTTCGCCGACCACCGTCTCATATTTATCGGGCATTTGAAAAATACTGTGGTGCAGATCAGCAGCTGCAGCTGCTGCCTCCACATCCTCGTCGGAGGCGGACGGCCGACCATAACGTATATTTTCCCGAATGGACATGTTGAAGAGAACCGTATCCTGTGGAACGACACCAATATGTGATCTCAACGATCGCTGAGTCACTGCGGAGATGTTTTGGCCATCGATGAGGATGCTACCAGATTGCACATCGTAGAAACGTAACAATAGGCGTAGTATTGTACTTTTACCAGAACCTGTGTGACCTACCAGTGCAACGGTGTGCTTATGGGGAACCACAAACGATATGTGTTTGAGGACCGTACGTTCCGGATTATACGAGAAACACACGTCACGAAATTCGATTTGGCTCTGTTCCAGCTTAAGTTCGACGGCTTCATGGTGGTCAACGACCTCTGGTCGATTATCGAGCAATTCGAACATGTTTTCCATATCGGTAAACGATTGTTGAATCATACGATAGTAAGTTCCAAGAAAAGTAAGCGGCGCATACAGTTGCGCATTGTATGCTATGAAGAGGACATAGTCGCCCGCCGTGATGTCGTTGGTGCCTTCGTAAATCATATAAGCACAAAGTAGTGCTCCAATTAGTGTGCCAATGCTCGAAGTGCTACCCTGAATAATGTTAAGTAATGCCAACGATGATTGTGACTTCCATTCAGCATTCTGATACTTAGCTATACACTCAGAATACTGGTTGACCTCAATTTCCTCGGCGTTATAGTACTTCACTGTTTCAAAGTTAAGCAGGGCATCAACACTTTTAGCATACGCAGCATTTTCCAAATGGTTCATTTCATGTCGAAACTTGGTGCGCCACTCAGTGAGAACGATCGAAGCTGTCAGATAGATCCCCATACATACAAAGGCAACAAGAGCAAACCATAAATTGAACGCGTACGTAAAGTAGCCGAACGCGATGACGATATCGGTTAATGCAGGGAAAATCTGGAATAATAAGTAAGAGCACAAATTTTGAACACCTGATGTGCCTCGGTCAAGGACCTTGAGCACTTCACCTGTTTTTCGTGAAAGGTGCCAGCTGATCGACAAACTGTGCAAATGGGCATAAAGTGATACTTGTGTAGCTTTAGTCGTGTATTGTTGGACTCCAAGCCATAGATATGAACGAACATTAGCCATCAAGCTATTGGCACCTTGAAACAGAAGTAACAATGAAACATAGATAAGGATGTCCATCCACAGGAACTCCTTCGGGTGACCAGTTGAAGAAACCAGACCATCAACAATTTTCTTTTGCATGATCGGCGCGATGGGAGTGCAAACGCGACCAACAATCATAATTCCGAAACAAACAAAAATACTGAATTGCAGTTTAGTACTGTTTTTCGGCCAAAGAAAAAGCAGCAGGTAACGAAACTGGTGACGAAACAAGCCAGTCCACGGGGATCGCGTAGTTGATTGAACATGAAGAGTGTACGGCACCCCTGCTCCAAGAAGGTAATCTTCTCGTCGCGGTACGCCAGGCGCATGCAGTCCAATCAGGAAAAGAAGTGAGGTCACCATAAAACGAGAAGTGAATAAGGCTAAAAGGTATTTGTCTTTCGCACTGCTTAGGTGAAAGAACCATACTGGTGAATTGAAGTTTATGAAGAGAATGCTTTCGGCAACAAGTGCACCTGTCCAGAAGATTAGTAAGATAAGCCCATGACCTCCGGTCGGTACACTTGGTAAAGCAAAGTATCGCTCCAAACAGACAAGGTAGAGTGACCACAGCCAGGATAAGATGGTAAGCCCGCCCCAGACTATGTTGAAGCCGTATAGACGAAGGCCATTAACGTGAATAAAATATATAACCATCTGAATGATAACAAGAACAACTTGAAGCCATGTGAGAGCTAGTTGTAGCGTATATAAAGGTCGTTTAGGTAGAACAGCTCTCTCAAGTAGTGTTCCATATTTTCGATACACCCACCATTCGCTGAGACCAATAATGATTACCCAGAACGCTAATGCCGATGAAGTAAGCGTATGCGTCAAACAATGGGAGAGTCCGTGGTTCGCCCAAATTGTCCATAAAGTCTCATTTGGAGGGCAATACGTGAAGTTGCTAAACACACCCATGTCGCCGCTGTCGTCCCTGGTTTCAAGAGTGTTCTACGATGCCGACATTCGTCGTTTTTTGATAGCACCGCCTTGTGGCGTTGCGGTAGGTAAATCTACACGAAACAAACCGAAATCGATGGCATTCACGTACTGGAAAGGTGATTAACGACTGTAAGCTCTTCGCTGTCGCCGGAATTCACGCTTATGTACAGCGGGCGGAATCTCCTTCAAGAGAAAAGGATTTATAATGCATAGCCGCTTCAATTTTGGCTTGAAACTTGTGTAGTGCGCGGTGTCACACAGATAAGAGACACGATGCTACCGACTTTGCTGATCCCGATCATAGAGGGCGTGATTCAGAAATAAATATACTCGCAGTGAAGAATCTTCGCGAACATTTTCAAGCGGCCGCTGTTTTAACACCGGCGGAGAATTTCACCGTTAACAACAGTGGTAGTGGTGGCGTGAGCAGAACATCAACATGATGAGAACACGACATAAACGCTATGTATACAACATACCTAGGGCTATTATTCGAGCGCTCAACCCTCTCTCAACGGTAACCCTTTATCGGGGCTGACGGATGAATGCATTCCAAAGGAAACGGCACCTGTAAAAAGTTTGTACGAAGGCAAACAAAACATTTGCAGATGAGAAGCGAAGGTAAATGTGAAGACGACTCAAAAAGCAACCAATTGGTCTTTACTATTTGCTTTTACTACTGGAACATATGATGAAATGTTGATCTGGGCGGGTAGCGAATATTGCAATCGAACTAGCACCATTTGAATGAAACCACAGTACATTTCTTCAAGATCCTTAAAATAAAAACTAACAATTGTTTTATTACCTGAAGTGAAGTCTAAGTATAAACGTACGAAATACAGGCGGAGCATCGAAGGATTACACTAAACTGTTTAAGTGAACAGATGCACTTCGATTAAGACTTTTGTTTTATCATCGCCAAAGATGAAGGTCATGATGTCTTTACAGTTGTGTTCAAAAGTGCTGTCCTTAACGTCCTAACGCAACCAAGCCAGTTTCTGGCGTTTCGACATTTCACAACAAGTTTTTAATTTTACTGAGGTATTTGGTAGCCTGTTGCCATGGAGAAAAACAGTGGTACATCATGAAATCTACCTTTAATGCTTCAAAACTCGTCCAAAGAGTTTGTGTTTTTCAGCTATAAGGTAACAACCATTTTACTACATGGCATACGCCAACTGTTTTGCTAGTAAAACCGATCGCCGGCGTGTAGTGTCTGCCGATCCTTATGTTTAACTTTTTTTTTGTTTTAATTCTTTAATTTTTTGAGGGATCTTTAAAGAAACCTGCTTTCAAAGTGTTATTTGTAATAAGCATCGATTAATGTAGCGCTGAACGCCGAGACTAGTGGATTTTTTTCAATATAAATCAACAAGTGGCAATCAAATATGAGTCATCACGTTTATCCATATCGTGTTCCTGTAGCCAGATATTACAGATTAAGCTGAAAGCATTTTTTTGTCTTTGTCTCTGATTGATTTAAAAATCCCACTTCTTAATTAAAATACGATCAAAAGAAATTTTTCGACAAGCGATTCAAACGTTCCCATTCGTGTATTCGTGGTATCCATAGATAAAGTTTCACCGTTGTATGACGCAGTATTTACTAGGTTCGCCATCGAAAAGCCTATCAATCATGCGCTGATCCTTTGCCTACTGATTTAGGATTTTCGGTATACAACAATATGGACCAGAAAGTTGGTGATATTGTGTTCTTCAACCATCCGTTATCAAAGCTTGAAAAGAAAGCGAGACATTTATCATTTTAACCCTCGCGTGTATGTTTATGTCTAAGCTGTGCGTGGCCTCTTTGAACTGGACAGCCGCCTACCCAGGGCGGCAGATTATAAACGAATGCGTTCACCCGTCGAATAGGATCCATCCAGCGGTACATTTATTTAGAGGCCTTCTTCATCCTCTCCTCTATTGGTTAAATGAGCTTGATGGTTGAAGCTACAAGAGCGTCACCTAGCAGCTGAACAATCAAACTCTGATCCTTCTTACTTTCATACGTCAACGCGGGAAATATCTACCAGAGGATTCTACAGAGCTTTACTTGGAGGTTTTTTGGGTCAGTTCTACAAAACAATTTCTACAAACATATTTACTCATTGTTTATCATTACTGTTGCCTAACTCTTGCCCAATCTTCAGCTAAACATAGTGCCGTTTAATCGAAAAGAAGTGTCCTCGCACTTTGGCTGCGGGGCACACCGTCTGCCGCCGGACAGTCGCTTACTCCAAGTGAGCCAAAGGAAAAGTATGAAGAACTATGAACAGCAGCAGCACAAATAGCATGAAAGTGCATCGCCGTTCTATCAACGAGTGCTGTTGCCGTTTGTTATTGTGCCGTATGCCTCTCACAACTCTGTAGAAGGAAAACTGGAGGCAGTGCCGCGCCCAACGTATAGCCTGGTTTGAAACGACAAGCGTAACAATAAAGTGAGAACGTGCGCGTCCACGTTATTAACTTAAGTGCAAACTAATGTTCGTGGATAAGTGAGTTCATGATAAATTCACGCTTACTGAAGTTTTTCACAAATTCAACGGGTTTTTTTAAATAATTTTTTTGCAACAAGCGTTAGTTTTGCTAGTTGCTGCGAAATTTCTTACCGACCAAGCCATAGGCAGTTTGGTGAGATACTAATACTTGGCCGAAACGCGCTTGCTCTATCGTACTGTACAACGCTTCTTGCAACGAAAAATGCTATTCGACATTATCAACATTGTTATCTTTGTCGTCCTATTCTCAGTGGGCGGAATGATTCTTTTCGTGTTGTATAAAAGATACTGTGCCGAGTCTAATCATTATATATTTGTAAAGGACAATTCAGCCAAGGAATCCCATAGCCAGCTCTATCCCAACCTTCATCAAGTCGATGGAGAAGTAACAGCACCAGAACTTGATTTAAGCGAACGGGATGAAAAAGAGTCTGTAGAGTCGAAGGATACCCTCGACACCGAGAAGATTTCTATCCCTATGGATCGTCAGCATGAAGCAAAGGCCGTTGAGAATGATTATGTCGTTCCCAGCGAGCTCGCGAGCGTCAATGGAAAGTAAAAAGGAAAGCTTCGCTCACAGGATATAGGTGCAGCAACAGCAGCAGTTGGTGATGGTAGGAATCTTCAGCGTCAAGTACCTTCTTCTGATCGGCCGTGATCAAGGGTCGTTCAAAGCTGTCGCGTTGCCTTGGCTTAAATTGTTAGACCGCACGCCGGTATTAGATATGGATGCCTTACGGAACAGGATGATAAACGGGTAATTGTCACCGACTACGGGAAGCGTCTCTAACAGCGGCTTGACACACACCGATGCGTAGATGGTCAAGTGTGGCGATGATAGCCTACGCCAACTCTTAGCAATCTGGAGTATATCGAATATGGCTACAAGAAAAAAAATAGCTTCAAAGCGGTGCATGTTCGTAGATGTGAGTTTGCATGTTGTTATACGGACGGGCGTCTCTGTGTGCCTATATTTGTGCGTATGTTGTGCAACTTTCAAAGCGATTTTTGTCTAGTATCCTTCATTCAAGATGCAGTGGGTGCAAAAGGTTTTTTTTACTATGTAGAACCTCATTTATCTACGTTTAATCGAGCACATCTTATGTGTAGAAATATATTCTTAAGAAAAAAAAACATGTCTGCCGGCAATGCCATTACTGCACACAATAGATAGCTTCACATAAATTATAAACGAAAAATTAGAAGTACTATGGAGTCTAGAGGTGTTATTTAACCATATCTGCTACAAGCAACTGAGAGCGAAAATTGCTGACTCCGGTAACCACGCCAGCAAATGAAAGGCTGGTCAAACGAAATTATTGCACCAATAGTAACTAGAACAGGATATATGACATTCTTGTAGTCATCACGTGAAAAAAGCGTATTGAACGTTTGCCCTTATGGGCTATAGATCCGTTGTTTATCTGTTAAAAGAAGAATCAATTTGGTTAATCATAAGTCTGATTTTATGTACAATATAATAAATATATTTAAATAAGTATGGCAAGCATGTCAACGTATCTTGCTAGCGTGATAGTCCAGATGAAACGGGCACGGCTTAAGTCAATATCCCAACTCGGTTTTCAAAAAATAGTTTATCTTTCCGTCATTGATGAGCAGTTTCTGCTGTTCTTCTAATGCGCTTCCTGTTATGCTGTTTTTAACATGAATTGTTGCCATCCAATCGAGTGGTAATATCAGCTGCATGTAGTTCGATACTCGTGTTCTACTATTACGACTGTAATAACATGCGACTAATGTTTTATGCCTTTTTCTGCACTAATGCATCTGGCGTAAGCATCCAAACAACCACACCATATTGTCGAAGTTTAAGATTGTATATAATATAATCGAGGCACGAACAGGCGTTCAGTCGTACGATGGTGATTTTATATACATATATACGTATTTGTGAATTCGTGTTTTCGTGGTGCACTACTTGTGTATTAGACTCATATACTCAGAGGAAAAAGTATTTTTACAGTGGGTATAAATAACAATCTTGTTGATCATAACACCCATCAGTCAATAAAATCATGTTATATGTCAGTAAAACTTTAGAATTTAGTAGAATTTTAAATACAACGTCAAATTATATGGACGTACTAGTACGAAATTGTCGTTGGTGTTTTAATGAATAGTTCTTATCACAAGTTTGTAGAGCAGAATCAAAGTAAAATAATGAAAAAGGAAAGTCCCACAAATATGTTCATACATGAGACTGAAGTATATCTCGATAGAACAGAAGAAATATCTCGAAAACGCGAAAAATGCGATAAAGCTGAAAAATTTGCGTATACTACTTTAAAAGTAAGCAGACGATATACGCTCCTAAATAAACGAGACTATATCTGCAAAAATATATAGCTAATGTTTTTATCTTAACTTTCTACGTTTTTGTTAGTTTGTTGTAAAAATACATCTTCTGTATTGAGCATAGAGCTTCGATTATGCAGCGGAAAATGGTAGGTGCAAAGATTCAAATGTTCATGTATTAGTATGAATCGATTCAGTAATTCTATCAGAATTTCAGCTATTTAGGTACGCTTTTCCAACAGCTAAAGCCGAGACGTTTTTGAAATTGATGATGTAATCGATTCCAAGGTATTTATGTTCGCAGCAGTTGTTGAATTCAAAGGACGTTTCTTTTATTATTTGTCAACGGAATATCGAACGGAATAATATCGAATATGCCAAAGCCAAGTGTGCTACAAAATCTATATATATCTAAGAATTACCGAGCCGCAAAGTAAGAATATTTATCCATTGGAAGACTCGTATAGAGCGCTATGTGGCTTCGCTTATTGATGCCACATGGTGGTGTTTAGCTGTTCCGAAAATTTCGGCTTCCCGAACAAATTCTTCTCGTCTTCCTAGGTTATCGCTACTAGCATAGCGCTTGGTGACCAGGCAACAATCATTAAATCAGGTTAGGCCAGACGGCGATCGCTCTGAGTTTGGCTATGGGCTCAAATGGTGGTCCCTGTTTTCTTACAATAAAGCAGCCTCCTCTCCTTCTGCGTACAAACATCTGCTGCTGCTGTTGAGGCCATTTTCTTCTTTATGAAACCTGGTGCCTTCTCGTCCTGCCTTCTATCTTTGTATACAAAGGACTTCTCAAGAAAACCGCCGAAAGAGCTGGTCACTTCGACTTGCAACGATAGTTGCGGTCGTTTCCAGTTTTCCAATACAAAATGAATTTTTATTGGGTATGAATTAAGGGCGATAACAATTTGTTTGCTAAGCTATTAATAAGGTCTAGCTGGTTGCACTACTTTCCTTCCAATTTCTTACAGCTTATCTTAGGAAATTAGTCATGCTTACTAACACAAGAGTTGCGGCGGGAATTTCATAAAAAATAGGAAATAATTATTGCAATAAATGTACAATTCCAACATTATTTATAAAAGCAACATCTTTCAGAATGACTTTGTAACTAGTATACATGTAGAATACAGCTTAAGTGACGATATTCAAAAACACTTCTAAAACTTATAATTGTTTAGGTGAAAAGAAAGGCTGAGGTACGTCTTCGAAGAGATTTCAAAAAATAATCTATATAATAGCATATTATTTTAGAAGAAGAGGTATCCGAGGCAGTGCTAGACACGATGCTAGCGATTTTTTAAACGATAAATATTTGCACTC